AATAATCTGCCTCGTTGTTTCCTCGAATGGCCGACCGAGAAATGATTAAAAAGATATACTTGTTAAGATATATTAGACAGCGTTCTCCTTTTCAGGCGGTAACCGGTAACATTTACCGCCTGTAGTACCTCTCGTTACCGTTTAAAATTGCTTGGAATTCTTGAAAATTCAACAGGTAAAAGGATTGCTTTACCGGTTTGAAAATTTATTTTACCTGTCATGCTTAAAATAAGGGAGAACACTGTAAAAACGAAACAAAGGGACGGCCGCAAATGCTGGTGACCCAAATGCATTTAAGGCTTGTAAACCAACACGACAAAGAGCATCCAAGCAATGCGCAAAGAAAGCGGCCAGAAAGAGCTTTCTGTCTAACCCCATTACTTGATAAGGACGAAATAGGAATAGCATATTCACAGGGAACCATATATAATAAGTAGTGCAAGATGCAATTTTAGAAATATATCTCAATCATTGTCATTGTATTGGAATTAATTCCCTGGGCCGGGACTGCATGGTAGTTAAGTGCAGTTTTGTAAGAGAGATCAGTGAACAACACGAAAAGAGAGCCTGTGATGGTGGCTGTTAGAAGTGAAATTAAAGCCCCAATGTACATCGATTTACAAAATGTGCGGAAAGCGGATGGTATGAGTTGCTTCGAAGCCATATCCTCATCTTCATCTTGCTGATCATGGCATCACAGCAAGAGTTCTTGATGACGGATAAAAATACCATGTAAATATGGCTGATTTTGTTTTGCGCATGTTTTCCCGCTCGACCCGTGGGCTTTGATTTGCACGAGGAATCATGCATGATAATTTTAGCACCAAAAAACCTCTTGTTTTCATTGTCACCCATCGTACTTCATTTGATCATATCAATATGTAACCACTTGACTTCATCACTTAATAAAAACCACTAAAGCACAGTTTAAAAGCCACGAACTACATCCTCTGAGGTGGGCGAGTGTTAGTTTTAAACGTGGGAGAAGGAAGCGCGAACAATCTACGATGCAATTGGAGGAAACCTTCCAACAAAGTGCTTAGTCTTACACTATCCCTTGACCCCACATTTCGTGACTATTCTATTCAGAAATACATACAATCGCTTACGTTTAAGCAATTTTTAATTGAATGTCGAAAGTAATCCGTGAATGCTTTGTGTTTCCTTCACTTCGCTCTTTGACTGGTCCATTTACTGGTTTAATTTACGTTTTCAACCCAGTTGTTAACGCTAAATTACCGTCTATAAATCTCACAATTAAGACTTGGTGTAGGAAGATAACAAAAAGCTCTATCCCTTCTATTGCTGTATTCTTGAAATATGAACTCATCGACAAGATGAAAATATCATCCTCGACCAGTACTTTCCAGTGGATCGTAGCCAAAAGACTCCGCTGAAAATTCAGGTTCTTCAAGATTGTAAAGCTCTGTTACGCCTCGTGTGAAATTGAACAATTGAGTGAGGCGTTTAAAATTTAGATACAAAATGCAATCTTTCCTAATAGCTGCTATCTTTTAGTTAAATTTATACCTGGAAAGTGAAAGTACATCCATAACGAAAGTGATTACGTGGCAAACTCCAGCCTGAGTAAATTTTTATATATATATACTCAGCGTTTTCAGCGAAATCAATGCAGTTCATATCCATTTTGGCTGCTCTTGATGCTCAGTCGAGTGAGAAGGGAAAAGTTTCGAGACAATGGCCGCTTTTTTTTCCTAATCTTAACAGCCTCAGTGGTGTCAGTCGCTCTAAACCTGTCAAATTATAACCAAACGACACACACGAAAAGCCACACACTGCATAAGGACAAATAGTCCGTGAGGGAAATAGCGCTTAGAATTATATGAAGGTGCACACTTGCATACACTGGAAGAGAATCATTTTGCTTACTTTGTTAAACACGTGGTCAATTCTCAAAAGCCCTTAAGGCCACTTCGCTTGGAAGCACAGCTTATGACACGAACCAACTCATGAAACAAATAATTAAATGTTTTTGTCTGTAATTGAATAGTATGGCGGTCTGTATTTAGAGTCTGAATTTTGATGAAAACAGGCAGGTTTAAAATTTAACAACTATGACATGAACTCTTGGAAAATAACTGGTGACCAAAAACATTTATCTGTTCATATCTCGATGTTTCTGCATCTCTGAATTGTCAGGAACTAGATTTAAAGTAGATGATTCGTTCTAGATAAAGTCTGCCCCTTTACTAGCCTCTCTATACAGTGCATGTATGAAAAGCAGAAGAAACTATCACGTCACTAAACTCTTCCAAGTTCTGCGGATCATAGCAAACTTTATTCATGAATAAAACTGTCTCTCGAGTCAACAGAACCTCGTAGAGAAGCAAATGATCGAAAGTTTTTTTTTCAACTTAACAGGTACACAAAAGAACTGAATGCTCCTTGGGTAAAGGTATCGAACTGTTTAATTGCCGTAGAAAACTAGAAACCATTACCAAACAAATGAAATCCTGTCATCTTTAAAGCATCTGAAAGGATGTGTTGAAATAAGTGGTTAAAGATGATCGCGCAACTTTCGAAAGTACTTACAACTTACTCCACGAATAAATTCATATCGAGCCAATCTCTGATGTCTCATATCCGTTGTACACGATTTTATCTACATATAGAGCACTCCAAATTCACTTTCTTGGAGGGTTTAGAATGATAAATTTACTACAATTCCAGTATCTATATGCATATCAGAATTAAGTATTAACTCTTGCCATTTTTTATTAAGAAGAAAGGCGCGTGCATGAGCGAACGCCCTGTAAACGGAAAACAATGGCGTCCGTACAAGCTCTTTTTTTTTATTGTGCCAAGGACTGTCTAAAAGTTTTCCGTTGTCGCTTGTCGCAAATAGACCTCGGATTATGAAAAGAATGAAAGACTTCTTGCCTTCCACTAGCTGAGCGGGTCGATTTTGTTCTCCTCGTTGCCACATTTCGCTAGATGCAACACGTCAAAGATCTTGATCAATACACGCCCATTAACCCAAGGAAGGCTTAAAGACTGCCGGCATTTAGTTTTTTAGAAGTTCTCTATGTGGAAGGCATTTCGCACGGATGACCTTTACACTCATCAAAGCGCCCTTGCACAACTTCCAAGAAAGATGCTGTCTCCCAGAGAGCCATTGGACACAGATTAGCCATTGCAACAAAAATGTGTCTTTTCCATCTTTTGCGCCAAACAGCCATAACTGCTATATTCTGAAAGCGAGTCTCGATGGCCAAGGATACGCCGGTGAAAAACCATTCAATCACCAGCGCAACTACGGTATGAATAACAAACTCCTGAAGCAGCTTTAAAAGTGGAATGTTTTGCATGTAAGTGAACTGATACAAGTACAAGACGCCGTTAACAGATACAATTGCAGTTGATTCACATAACATGCTTAAAACAGCAATATCAGCCATTAGTCTCTCGCGCCGAGGAGTGCGAAAACTTCCCCAAGGAGCTGATCTCCTTTTCAAGATTACATGACAAATATGATCAATGAAGACCACGGTGCTTCGTTCTAAAACTTCTACCGCGCCGTGGATTATTCCAAGAACAGCGATGAAACTGAGGTTATCAAGTTCTGCCTGCATTGCTCGAAACATGATCGCTGATCCGAAATACAACGGCGCTAGCAAGGTGTACGAGTATCCTGGATGAACAATTTTCTTCAAGCGTTGAGCACAAAGTCGTAAGATTACCTTAAAGACAACTACAAAGAGAGGTGAGAAGAGTGCAATAAGGAGTTTTCCATGTTCAGTTTGTTTGTTGTACATTGGATAAATAAACGATTTTATAAAGATGCCAGAGAAGAGATTGAAGCAGTAGGGTGTTATCAATTGAATAAATAAAGTCGCTCTACTCGACAGGTTCCGGAAGTGATTTGTCAGAAGATAAACTTGGCAACATATGCTAATTAGAAATATAACATAGAGAGGAATCTTCTGAATCACAGAAAGCTGGGAATGAGATATTCCAAAGACTTGAAGGACAACACGATACACTGTATCCATACAATAGAAGACAAAAGCAACAAGAATGAGTTTTCTTTTCACGCCCTTTAACTGATACGGTCGAAAAAGAAAAAGCATTCCTACAAAGAACCACATGTAAAGAAAGGCAACACATATCACGTCAGACAATGTTCTGATCCACTGTATTTTAACTGGGGTTGTCTCCTTCGGGTGAAATTGCCAGTTTTGCACCGGTTCGGACGAGAAGTAAGAGATCATGATATAAAAAAGGCCGAGGATAACAGCGGCTAGAAGTGAAATCAATGCGCCGATGTACATTGATTGACAAACTGTGCGAAGAACGGATGGTCTGAATCGCTTCCAAGCCATTTCATCATCTTCATTTTGCTGTTCGTCTTCGCTCCCGTCTGGTGAGCTTGCGTTGATGACCTGATATCTAACTCGAGAGTTCCCTACTGACAATAGATCATAATCGTCGTCCGATGGTGGTGAATATTCCTGGTAAATAGGTTCATCAACGGGCTGACAATTCCACTCTCGACCCTCAATGCTTAAGCTATCATTATATCCAAAGGTCTCCACTTCAGCCTCGTCAGGGTCGTAATTCTCTGTCACGCCTTGTGTGAAGCTGAATAAAACATGGGCAAAAACTTCAATCAGCAAACTGTTAGTCATTATCCGCGTTAGAGAGTCTTCGAGTTAACACTTGAGATCTTCGATACCGAATGAACATGTTTCAAATAAGCTCCAGGTTTTTTATTTTAATGTTTCAGTAATAGTCTCTGTACTCATTGCCGTATCAGCCGTGACGTAGTATTTTGTTTTCTCCGAGGTTTAGCTCATAGTTTTTTTTAAATATTCATCACTGATACTGATGCACAACGCACCCGAAATCAGGAAGAATAAAACAATTTATTCGACACGAAACGGAAGGGAGCGGTCATCATTGGAAAAAAACTTATGGCAGCTTATTTAAAAATAATAAATGGACATTTAATTGTTGAAGCTGCTTCAGGAATTTGTAATTTATACCTCAGTTGCGCTAAAACAGGTCGGTAGAATAATTTGAAAGAAAAATGTTGCCCGTTGTCTTCTCGAGCGTCCACTCAAAAAATGCTTCATTAAAAGATAAACTTGCACGCATATGCTCATAAGAAACAAAAGACAAAGAGGGATCTTTTGCTTTGTGAAAGCCTTTGACTGATTTATTTGTAACACTTGAAGAGCAACACGATAAAATGTGTCTAAGCTATACAATAGAAAAGTTGCTAGGACAAGCTTTCTCTTCACCCCGATCAGCTGAAATGGGCGAAATAACAAAACCACACATACGAAGAACCACATATATAGAAAGGCACAGGAGAGGATACCAGATATTGAACTGATCCATTGAACTTGTACCGGAATTGACTCTCTAGAGTGAAACTGACAGCTGAGTTCAGTCTTATACGACAGATAAATGACCGACATGAATAGAAAGCCTACAACAGTAGACGTTATCAGTGAAATCAGTGCTCCAATATGCATTGCTTTCCCCACTGTGAAGAAAGCAGATGGTCTGAGCTGCTTCCAAGCCATTGATTGATCTTCATCTTGTTGGCCGCCTAACTTCTCCTCATTTTCCTCTGGTGCGCACGCGTCTATACATCTCACATCAAGACTTGATGGTGGAAGATAAAAAAAAGCTGTGTTAGTTCTATCCCTGTATTCTTGAAATATAAACTCGTCTACAGGATGATAATACCATTCTCGACCAGTGCTTTCCAATGGATCGTAGCCAAAGGATTCCGCTGTAAATTCAGGTTCTTCAGGATTGTAATGCTCTGTGACGCCTCGTGTGAAACTGAACACGATGTGACCAAAAACTTCTATCAATGTACTGCTACTCATTTTGGAATGATTTACTTTTACAACGAACGTTGAGATACAACAGGAAGGTTTCAACTGACTTTCGATTTCAATTTCAACATTGATATTTTCTCGATTATTTTCCAGTTCTAATTGATCTTTCTAATGTGTATAATGTCATTCCTAAAAGTTGGACGTAGATGCACATGAATATGGAAACTTTCGATGAGGACTTTCGATATTTTCTCAAATTTTTTCTTGGGAGTAAATACTCGGTATCGTGGGCGACATATCCTTGATCACTGACTTAATATCAGAAACATGCACATAAATTATGTCGAATAGCGATTGATATACAAATTAAAGTAAAAAAGTTTACCCAGTTTCATCTCAATGCGCAGTCTTTGCAGACAACTCGTAAATGTTGTTACACTACAAAGGAAAACCACTGAAATTCATTCAACTCATTATTCTCAGTTATTTTCAGCAGAAAAGGAAATATCTATATTTGAACGGATGCTTTTACATTGATGAAGCTGAAGGGAATTCTTCAACATTAGCTTAATTCTCGACGAAGAGATCAAGGTTCGTTTGAAATCATATTCTTAATGATTAGACTGCAATTACAATAAAATAAGATCTTCGTAACCCAGACGATAGCCATAAATTTTCAGGCTCATTTGAAACTGAAAGTTAGTTGATAAAGATTGCATTCTTCGCGAGCTAATTCATCTCACGGCGGGGCTGAAGCAGACCATCCAAGATTCTTCTCAGATATAATACGTATGTCAGGACATATGATTACATCGATCAAATTTACTTAGATGTTCACATAATTCCATGATCTCAGAAGCCTTTCTAAACATACCCTGTACGGAAACAAGTTGTAATATAAAGAGATTAGCCAGTTCGGCAAACTCTACTCTATCAGCATTGCCATAATGTCAATCGTGCTGGTGTCACGCTAAATTCTCTAAACAACAAAACAACTTATTTTGGGTCTTATATTGTTACATCTCAGTAAGGAAATTATTATTTGATGTAAATATTCAATCAAGGACAATGTTGTAAACAAAGATTCACATGGAAAGTCAGCTTTAGTTATTTCCTTAATAAGAAAAGATTATTTAGTGAGCTAAATACATTGTGCCGCCGTCAAAGGAGAGTAATTTCGTTTCATTACCATATTATGATGCTACACTGAATTCAAATGTATTGGTGAAGCTGGTGCATTAATTTGTGCTCTGATGGTTGTGTCTGTATCAAGTATCTGTTTCTATTCAGAAATACATACAGTCGCTTATGTTTAAGCAATTTTTAATTGAATGTCGAAAGTAATCCGTGAATGCTTTGTGTTTCCTTCACTTCGCTCTTTGACTGGTCCAGAGAACTCGCGCAACTCTCTTAACCAATCAGATGCAAAACTAAAACCCCTCACGACTTAGTACGTGCGTTTTCCTGCGCTTTAGGTAGTTTGATCAGTTTTATGTTGAGTTCTCATTGGTTCTTAAAGGTATTTTCATTTCTTGTGATTGGTTGTGATTGGCTGTTGTGATTAAATGTATTTTGGTTTTGGTTTTACGACTCATTCGAAAAGCCCTTCATGTCAGGTGACAGGACCACATTTAATGTGTACACTTAAATGCAGAACATGTTACAAAAAATTTATCATCATCAAAGTTATTTGCATTATGTTAACAGTATAAGCTTTGAATAAACGGCCAATGATATTGTGTTGACGGAGATTGTACCCTAAATCTGCCTTGGAAAAAACCGTTTGGTGAAAATGTCTTTTACAAATAAGACAATTTAGACTTATCGACTAAACGTACTTTTGGTTCATACAATGTTGAGACAGTGTTGAGCGTATTTGGTTAACTATACGAAAACAAGGGAACAACAGATTTATATTTCAAAATCATAATTTTTTATCGTATCGAGTAACTGATTATTTGGTTTGGCTTTCTTCGCTTTTTAAGTGTCGTTAACATACTACATTTTTAGAAATCTCTGAATGAATTAATGAGTGATACCAAGTACATGGGATCAATCTGACGGAAACTGAACAGACACGTGTAGTTTCCAGTTGCAGTTGAAGATAAACCATTACCGGTGAAGAAAATGCAAAGATGCTTCATGATATCAGATTAACCTCGGGGATTAGCAAAAGATACGTAAGTCATCAGTGGAACATGCATTCTTTATTACTCTTAAGTGAACGGCGTTCTGCAAGGCTGGTCAGTGTCTTTGAAACGCCCATGCAAAATCTCTAAGAGATACCCACTTGTCCATAATGCTAAGGGAACCGCGCAGACAACTGCAACAAATGTGTGTCTCCTCCATCTTTTTCGCCAAACAGCCACGACGGCCATGTTCTGATAGTGAATCACGATCGCTAGAGACATGCTGGTGAAAAACCACTCAATCACCAATAAAATTGAAGTTCGGATGGCGAACGACTGAAGCAATTTTACAAAGGGATCACTATGTAGGTAAATAGCTTCATATAAGTATAAAACGCCGTTGACAGACACTATACCAATTGATTCATACAACATGCTCATAATGGCGATATCAGCCATTAGTCTCTCACGGCGAGGAGTGCGAAAACTTCCCCAAGGCGCTGACGTTCTTTTCCAAATAACATGGCCGTAGTGATCAATAATGACCATAAAGCTTCGTTCTAAGACCTCCGCAATTCCATGAACTACTCCAAGAATAGCCATAGATCGCAAACTGTCTAGATCTGCTTGTAAAACTCGAAACACAATCGCTGATCCGAAGAACAGCGGCGCCAGTAATACGTATGAATATCCCGGATGTGTAACGTTCCTTAGCCGCTGAACAGAAATCCTACAAATTACTTTGAGTACAAATCCAACCAGAGGAGCGAGGATGGCAATCAGTAATTTACCTTCATTTTTTTGTTTATTGTATGCCGGGTAAATTGTGTAAATTGTAATGAAAGTAACAATGTAACTGAAACAGCTTGGAAGAATCAGTTGTAAGAATAAATAAACTCGTTGCCTCCTCGAAAGGCTGACCGAGAAGTGGCTCGTTACAAGATAAACTTGCAAACATACACTAAGAAGAAACAGAAAGTTGAGCGGAAGTTTCGGTGATGTGAATGCCTTGGACTGTAAAACTTCAAAGGCCTGTAGTCCAACACGATAAAGGGTATCCAAGCAATACACTGAGAAAGCAGCAAGCGCCAGTTTCATTTTCACACCGATTAACTGGTAAGGACGAAATAGAAGTAACATACTCACAGGGAACCACATGTATACAAAGGCAGAAGATAAGATCCCGGATATACATTTCATCCATTGTATCTGTGACGGAATTGACTCAATGGAGTGGAACGGACAGTCGAGTACAGTTTCGTAAGAGAGATAAGTGAACGACGAGAATAGAGAGCCGATGATTGTTGCAGTTAGTAATGAAATCAAAGTTCCAGTATACAGTGATTTCCAAATTGTGTGACAAGTGGAAGGTCTGAAACTCTTCCAAGCCATTGCTCTGTCATCTCTTCGCTGTTCGCCTCGTGTTTCTTCCTTTTCTTGGGGTGAGCAAGCGTCTATAACTCTTACAGCAATATTTCTTGACGGCATATAAGAGGAGCCAGGTGTGTGCCCTCTGTCGCTGTATTCTTGATAAATGAACTCATCCAAGGGATGATAGTTCCACTCTCGACCTGTACTTTCTAATGGATGGTAGCCCAAGGACTCTGTCGCGAACTCTGGTTCATCTGGGTTGTAAAACGCTATCACACCTTTCGTAAAACTGACTACCATGTGACCAAACACCTCTATTAGTGTGCTTGTACTCATGCTGGAAGGATTTGGCAGTGAAATCCACCACAAGTTAGCGTTAGAAGACTTCGACTTCGACTTCGACTTCGACCTTTTCTAGGAAAACATTAGTCACGAAAGTGAAATGATAACATCATGCGTTGCATTTTGGGTAAAGGTACAACTTTGGGTCACGTAAGCGAACATGTTGAACAAAGCAGGAATGTACAGCTCAATGAAAAAGAAATTTGCGGCGTAAAATCAAGGAAAGGCGTCCATTTTTTAACTAAAGCGGAGGTGATAAGGTGGCTGAAGTGTAGAATGCAAACATTGAGACGACCTAACCTTGAAAAGACCTAAAGACCATGTCATAAGTTGGTAGGTTGCTGTGCAACAAACTGCCTCAACCCTGAAGTTAAAGTGGGGTTCTTCCTGTTTGTGACCAAAAGAATCCAATAAACTACAGCTGGGATAAAAACCTACAGGCGTTTCCAGAAGGCAAAGTGCCTGAACAAAGATGGAAAGAGTTTGAAAATACGCTGCGCAAACTACTTTGTGTAGGTCTAGGAAAAGCAAACGCTTTTTGTACAGTATTGCAACATTAGCATCAAGAGGGGAAGTGTCAGGCTCATCTCTCGATTATTATGAGTAAGCAAACAGAAAAAAAAGGAGGAAATTTTCCTAATAGAGTACAGCACTCCTTATTCAAATTCTTGGGGGACACAATACCGTCGACTGCAAAAACCTTCCCTCGCTAAGCTTAAGCTGTTTTTAGAACTGTCAACGCTGTGTTTGAGAGTTTCCGGAAGAACTCACGTTTCTTTATACAGTAAGAGCAAAACCACGCGCGACAAAACAGCAATCCTCAATACGCCTGAAGCGGAAAGACTGCTACACTATATATTGAAATAAAAAATTATGAATCAGAAAAAAAGGTTAAACCAGTTTCATTCTCAGTCAATGTTAAAATTAAATTAATTCATGACCTTCTAAAATCTCTCGACATACAACTGACGTTTTTAAGGAATTTTCCCATATTCTCGTGTTTATCAAACATCATCAATTGTGATTGGTTGAAAAAAATACGAGAAAGTCATGACGATCCTACAGCCTTGAATACAATATAACAAATACAGAACCCGCAATTTTGTTTCCCAGCATTTAATCACACAATGATAGTTCCTATCTGTTTGTCCGAGAATGTCACGCAATGGAAAAATTCTGCAGACCATATCGTTAATCTCCTATAGTATTCCGACGCTTTGATATTATGAAACGATTCCATCAAATGATTCCATTGAATAATTCAATCTAATGATTTCACAAAACAATTTAATCAAATTATTTGCATCAAATAATTTCATCAAATGATTTCCATAAAATTATTTCCATAATATGGAAGTAGAGTGGAGTTGGCGTGTGTGAGGACATTTTGTAAAAATGGTCCCGAACCGTCAACTACTAGCGAAACCACGCGCGACAAAACAGCAATCTGCAGTACGCAGGAAAAAAGGTGGCAAGGATTTTTTTTCACAAATTTGATGAAAAATAAACTCCAAAATAATGTACATTTAACACTGAATAAATTAATTAATTCAAATCTGAACACTTGTTGAAACCGCACTCGTTGTTTGAGTTTCTCGTGAGCATAAGGACGAAAAGACGCACGTACCAGCAGCATGAACCAAACACTAACGGCCGCTATTGGGCTGATGGAAGCATTTCTTGATGATGCCAAATGGGTATATTGTATTGCACTTAACTGTCATGATTCTTACGGAGAGCCTCTCCGCTTCAATCTTAAGTGCGTTTCAAGTTCACAGAACGTCAATATATTCCACGCCTTCAGATCTACCGCATCAGCCAAAACAATGCTGCTGATTATAAAGTGAAAGAAGTGTTCATTTGTTTTTGACGCTGAGAGTATAAATAAAGCTGATAGACTGCTAAGGAAAAAGGGTGTTTTGCCATGTAAATCTGCTGAGCATTGTTTGTACAAAATGAGCAGTACATTGATAGAGGTGTTTGGCCATATCGTTTTCAGTTTTACACGAAACGTGACAGAGCATTATAACCCAACAGAACCTGATTTTACGGCAGAATCTTTTGGCTACGATCCTCTACAGAGCACAGGTCTGGAATGGAATTACCTTCCGGTTGATGAACTTATTTATCAAGAACACGAGGACAATGAAGTCACAAGCCCGGATTATTTCGCGGCTAGCAGTCTTAACGTGAGAGTTCTAAACGCCTGTTTACCTGATGAAAAGCAAGAAATACAAGACGAACAGCAAAATAAAGATAGAGCCATGGCTTGGAAGAGACTCAGACCATCCGCCATCTGCACAGTTTGTAGGTCAATGTACATTGGGGCTTTGATTTCACCGCTGTCTGCTACCATCATAGGTTCACTTTATATGCTGATCTCCTACATCTCCTACCAAACTGAACTCAACTGCCAATTTCACTCACACGATTCCATTCCACTGAAAATACAATGGATTCGAACATTGTCTCAAGTGATAGCGTGCGTTTTCCTTTACATGTGGTTCTTTATAGCCACGCTTTTCCTTTTCCGACCATACCAGTTAAAAGGGGTTAAGAGAAAATTAATCTTCGTTGTCTTTCTGATGTTTTGTTTGGATACACTTTATCGTGTACTCCTCCAAGCCTATGGAATATCTCATTCGAAGATATCAACATTAAAAAGGCTGCCACTTAACTTTCTATTTTTGATCAGTATATGTTGGCAAGTTTATCTTCTAACTAATCATTTCCGCATACTGTCAAGAGGGCGGCGCCCAAACTTATTTTTTAAAATACTGTTGCCAAGCTTAGTTACTTTCCTTCTTGGCATCCTCATAACTTCGTTTATTTACCCCGTGTACAACAAGCAAAATGGGAGAGGAAAATTAGTAATTGCCCTCTTTTCGCCCCTCAGTGGGGTTATCTTCAAAGCGATCTCCCGAATTTGCGTTCAGCGGTTATGGAACATAACTCATCCGGGATATTCATATGTCCTATTGGTGTCTTGGTATTTTGGCTCGGCGATTATTTTCCGAGTTTTGCAAGCAGATTTAGACAGTTTGCAGTCCATTGCCATTCTTGGGATAGTCCACGGCTTTGCAGAAGTCATAGAACGCAGCACCATGGTTTTTATTGATCACATTTTTCATGCTATTTGGAAAAAAAAATCAGTTCCTTGGGGAAACTTCCGCACTCCTCGCCGTGAGAGACTGATGGCTGATGTCGCCATCATAAGCATGTTATATGAATCAGCTGGTATAGTGTCTGTTAACGGTGGTTTGTACTTGTATCAACTCATTTACTTACGAAGCAGTTCACTTTTAAAGCTACTGCAGGAGTTTGCTTTTCGCACCTCAGTTCAGCTGGTCATTGAATGGTTTTTCACTAGCGTATCTCTCGCGATCGAGACTCACTATCAGAACATGGCTGTCATGGCTGTTTGGCGAAAAAGATGGAAAAGACACTTTTTGGTAGGGGTAGTAAATTCCGTGCCTTTAGCTTTGTGGACAAGCAATTATCTCATAGAGATTGTAAATGGGCGACTTAATGAGGCTGATCAGCCATGTAAAATGCCGTTTACCTGAGCGTGGGGGGTAAATAAAGTTTACTTACTCCGGCTTCTTTCGGGAAAGGGTTTTCACTTTGTGGTCTTGGAGTCTGTTAGTTTTTTTCCCTACGTAAAAAGCGCAGACGTATTTCCATTCAAGTTTTACCGACCTACATTTACCTACTCAAGTGAGAAAGGGTTCCACAGAGTGCCGAACGTGATTAATAGGGCAGTTCTTTGGTTTGCCATATAAAGCTTTGTAATTCACGATAGAAACAAGCGCCACGTAAAGAAAGTTTCCAACTGAGTGTCGAAAAACCAAAACCAAAGTAATCACAGTGACTAAACGTAACAAAGGTTTACAATATCATCAGCCAATGAGACCTCACAGTGAGAACAAGCCAACAGCTAGAACTGAGCGCGGGAAACGCGAATGACCAAGTCGCGACTGCTTTTAGTTTGCATCTGATTGGTAGAGAGAATGGCGCGAGGTGTTGTAATCAATCATAGAGAAAAGTAAGGATAAAGCAATAGCACCTTAGATTAATTTCGACACTTGATTGAAAATTGTTCTAAATGCAACCAATAAAACGCAGCTTTCTGGCTAGTTATTACTTGATCACTTACATTCTGCCGCACTAAACGCCTCTTATCCTTTTGTTTTAACACTGAATTCTCATTGCGAGCTTTTTAATATTCAGACTTTCGCTAAGATTGTAGCTATTTTCATTTGCTGAGATTTAACAGCATTTCATCAAAATATTCATCAAAAATTGATTTCAGAATAAACTGATAGAAATTAGAATCACAAATTGATTTCAGAATAAACTGTGTAGTTGATAAAAGTTAGAAACAAGTGAATGATTTTTATTTAGCATAACAGAGAATCAGAAGAAATAAATAAACTTGGGTTTGACATGATATAACTGACCTCTGGAACTGCAGAAAAGGCAAAAATTGTCCAACAAAAAATTATGAAAATGAAATGCTGGGTTAAAAGAAAATCAAAGAGGAATTAAATATGAGAAAACGCATAGCGAAATTGCTTGTTATGGTACCAATTTTCGGATGCATATCAGTTCCGATTCTGTTTATGTCATCTCCAATTCTTCTGGATACGTGGGATCCAAACCTGTAGGTAAAATATCTCATTGAAAGTAGGACACATGTGGGGAGTTAGCTACTTCACCTATCACAAAAAGATGAACTCATGGTTCTGTACTAACTGGAGCGAAGGATACACAATCGATGAGCTCATCTCAGTTAGGGTACTTTTTCGCAAGAAATATGGAATCCAGTCGCTCGTCAACGACTTCTATCTATTTACAATATCACAATCTCATCGTCAATTTACATCCCGCCAGAGGTAATGCGGTTAATTTACAGCCTAAGCTTGGAGAACCGTGAATGCTGTTCAGGTGGTAACTATGCGTAACAAAACAGAAAAAATCAATGTGTATGGATCTAACAAAACACATTTCAATTCATTTTGAAAACTGGCAAGGGAAAATTGAAACAACTATATACGTGTACAATCAAATTTATCGAAAAATTCTGAGCAAGGCAAGATTTCAACGAAAATTCCTCAAAAATTAGCACCTGAATTCTATCTGAATATCAGTTGAGACCCACAGAAAAGCGCCGAAATCCTTCTTGAGAGTTCAACTTAATTTACTCAGATGAGGATCGAAAGTGTTCTACTCATAAAATACTCATACGTTTAGACTGAAAGGAACGGCTGAGAAACGGCTGAGTGAAGCACTTCCTAATGACGTGATACGTAATTTGCAGGACCAGATTTAGAGAGCTGTACACGTTGGAGCTGAAGTGATACTATATAAGGATAAGATATCAGATTTACAGGGAAAGCCTGAAGGATGTACAAGAAGAATGAAAGATAATAAACATATGAATGAAAGACTGACACGGAATGATGATTTCTTCCCCGAGGTCAATAGCAGTAAACTGATCGAGGAGTTCAATTAAATGAAGTACACCCAAGGATCTTATTTCATTCGCATTTATGGTTTCGATCCTCTACACGGCAAAGTTCGATCCTCCTTATGTTGAGCAACCTCAAGATAAAAACGCTACAGCCACTTCACTTCATATCGATTTGTGCGACTCAAAGCGTGACTGAGCCGTGAAGATTTAGAACTGGTCTTCCTTCAACTTTGTTCGGGCACTACAAAAGATTACAGAGCCGCTAGGCAAGAAAATCAGAAACAATATCTCATTTTCGAAATTAGCAACAGTTGAGGCAACACATTTGGCGGCTCAAGGCATACATTACTCCAAACGGCTGTGAAAGAGGAAACGAATATCTCTTAGAAATTCGTCCGTGTAACTTCACCAAGAAAATGCGTATCATAGAAATACTAAGTCACATCATGTACAGTTTTACACGAAGTGTGGCAGAACATTACAGCCCAGAAGATTCAGAATTTACGGCAGAATCTTCTGACTACGTTCCTTTACAAAGCACAGGTCTAGAATGGAACCATCAACCGGTTGATGAGCTTATTTATCAAGAATACAGCCACTCTGATAACGGTTTTACTATAAGGGTGCTGGACGCTTGTTCACCAGAGAAGAACGAAGAAATTCCAGAAGATCAGCAAGATGAAGACAGAGCGATGGCTTGGAAGCGACTTAGACCATCTTCACTTCGCACAGTTCGTAAATCAATGTACTTCGGTGCACTGATTTCAATACTGACGGCTATGGTCATAGGCTCTTTGTATTGTTTGATAAGTTACGTATCTTTTCAAACCATGTTTAACTGCCAATTTCACCAAAAGAAGTCCATCCCCGTGAAAATTCAATGGATGAGAACATTATCTGATGCTGCAAGCTGTGGTTTTATTTACATGTGGTTCCTTGTGAATATCTTTTTTCTTTTTCGACCGCATCAGCTTCAAGGGCTGAGGAGGAAACTTATTTTCGGTACTTTTATGCTATATTGTTTGGACGCACTTTATCGTGTAATCCTTCAGAGCTCGGGAATATCCCATTCTAGGCTAACCAAAATACAAATGATTCCACTCATCGTTTTATTTCTTGTTAGCTTATGTTGGCAAGGTTATCAATTATGGAATCGCTTCCAAGTATTGTCACGAGGACGTATCAACTTTTTTGTGCAAATTGCAGCACCGGGCTTCTTTACTTTTCTCATTGGTATCGTCACGGTGTATTTCACTTACCCAATGTACAACGAAGAAAATGAAAACAGAAAACTTCTTATTGCAATCTTTGCTCCCCTCTCTGGACTCCTTCTCAAAGTCATCGTGCGAATTTGCATTCAATCCTCATGGAACATCACACATCCGGGATATACCTACATCTTGTTCGTGCCTCTTTATTTCGGCTCAGCGATTTTGTTTCGAGTAATGCAGGCAGAACTTGAAAACATCAGCGCAATCACTATTCTGGGAATAATCCACGGGGCTGCAGAAGTTCTAGAACGAAGCACCATGGTTGTCATCGATCACATATGTCATGTTGTTTTGAAAAGAAGAGCAGTATCTTGGGGAAGTTTTCGTACTCCTCGCCGTGAGAGACTAATGGCTGATATCGCTATCATTAGTATGCTGTATGAATCAACTGCTATAGTGTCTGTTAACGGTGTTCTGTACTTGCATAAATTTATTTACTTAAAGGAAAACTCTCTTTCAACGTTATTCCAGAGGTTTTTGGTGGCGAGCTCAGTCCAGCTAGTGATTGAGTGGTTTTTCAACAGCATCTCTCTGGCAATTGAGACTTATCATCAGAACATAGCTGTCATGGCTGTTTGGCAACGAAAATGGAAAAGACACGTTTTGGTGGCGGTGATCAACGTGATCCCTTTAGCATTATGTTCTACACTACCAATTATTCAATTTATGCACGGGCAGCTTGCTAAGTCCCGAACTGACCAGCCATGCAAAATGCCATTTTCTTAGAGTGACAGTGAGCCCAGGGTCCCCTCGGATGCTTGGACGCTCGGTTATACGATCAAGGAAATACTATATAGGGAAATTAGCAACAGTTATATATAGGGAAAATACTATATAGGTAAAACTGGCTTCGGAAATTTGTGCTTGGTTTGCGGATCTATAACAATTTGTTGCAGCATGTTCAAGCTTTGCGTCAGTAGCAAAGTCAAAAATTGATAAAACTCACCCGAAAATTCAGCTCAAATGATTTATTTCTGTCTCAGTCATTGGAGATGATACGTTCTCGTCGTCATTTGAAATCAGGTTCAACTTAGGGCGGGGACAAAGCGGCCAACCCGGTTGAACAAAATAAGCCTATCTTTCCTGCTCGGGCAACCGATTGAAAAACCTGACAGTTTATTTCAAATAGTCTTATACTGGTCAAATTACTATATAGACTTTAAACCTTAGACAACTATTTAGAGCTCTAGAAGTTTCGGTTTCAGCTTCAATTTATAACCACTGCTAAAGTGAAACCACAATTTCAGATTTACTCACAGGAGGAGCTTAAACGATCGTTCTAGACAGGTGAAAGAGAGACATGTAGTTTCATAGCTTAAAGAATAAATTAGTCTGAACGAGTGGGAAGACAGATGTGTCGCTTTAATAACCTCTTGGAAAGCTTCTATGTAACTTTTTCATCGCAAGATGAATAGCAGCACACTGATAGAGCTCTTTGGTCAGCTCATATTCAGTTTTACGCGAGGCGTGGCAGAGAATTACAATCCAGACGAACCAGAATTTACAACGGAGTCTTTGGGCTATGATCCTTTAGAATGTACCGGTCGGGAGTGGAATTACCTACCTGTTGACGAGCTTATTTATCAGGAATACAGCGATATGGAAGGCTCGAATTTGAACTATATGGCGGCGAACAGTCTTAGAATACGGGTTATAAATGCATGCTCACCAGAAGAAAACGAAGTTGTATATGACGAACAATATGGAGAAGACAGAGCAATGGCTTGGAAACGGCTTAGACCGTCAGCACTTCGCACAGTTGGTAAATCAATGTACGTTGGAGCTTTGATCTCACTTTTAACGGCTTCCATGATAGGTTCCTTGTACGTGCTGATAACTTATCTCATTTACAAATTTGGAATCGTCTGCGAATTTCAGAAGTCCATTCCAATACAAGTACAGTGGCTCCGGACAGGTTCGGTGATCATCACCTGTGCCTTTGCTTACATGTGGTACTTCGCTAATATACTTAGTCTATTTCGCCCTCACCAGTTAAATGGGGTAAAACGAAAACTAATACTAGTTTGTGTCATTGTCTTTTGTTTGGATGCAATTTACTGTATAATTTTACAAGTCTTTGGAATATCTCACTCACCGTTTTCTACGCTACAAAAGACCCCTCTCGACGCATCGTTTTTCGTAAGTGTATGTTGGCAGACCTATTTCTTAACAAACCATTTGCTGATACGAAAATCCAGAAAACAACGGGGTATTATTTTCATGCAAATGATTCTGCCCACCCTATCTACTTTTATTCTCAGTGCGACGATGATATTTCTCGTTTTTCCAGCGTACAATGAACAAAACAAGGAAGGAAAACTTTCAATCGCTTTATTTGCTCCCCTCATTGGCGTTGTACTCAAAGTCATCTCGCGAATCTTTGCCCAGCGGTTATGCAACATTACACATCCAGGATATTCGTATGTCTTACTTGCGCCGTTACATTTTGCATCAGCGATTGCGTTTAGAATCTTACAGGCGGACCTCAGTAGTGTGCAGTCCATGGCTATTCTTGGTGTAATTCACGGCGTTGCAGAGGTCATAGAACGAAGCACCATAGTCTTCTTTGACCATGTTTGTCATGTTATATGGAAAAGAAAGACAGCACCTTGGGGAAGTTTTCGCACTCCCCGCCGTGAGAGATTAATGGCTGATATAAATATCATGGGCATGTTGTACGAATCAACTGCTGTTGTCTCTGTTAATGGATTTTTACACCTATATCAATTAGTTTTCTTAAGAAATTATTTAATCTTAGAGCTGCTTAAATCATTTGCTATCCGGACCTCTATACCCCTGATAACTGAATGGTTTTTCACAAGCGTTTCTTTAGCGATCGAAACTCGATATCAGAATATGGCTGTCATGGCTGTTTGGCGAAGAAGATGGAAAAAACATATCTTAGTAGCAGTGGTAAATGCAGTGCCTTTAGCTCTTGCAACAAGTTCGAACTTAATAGACGTTGTTCATGGACGTTTTAATGAATCTAGTCAGGTTTGTAAAATGCCATTCGCCAGCTGAACTGCCAAACACTCCACCTCTAACTTTATTGGATTATAATGATGAAGTAACCGAGAAACTAGGAGAGAGCGAAAGTTTTTTCTTTATACTATCGTGTGCTTAACATGGATTTTTCCCAAGGTGTGCACAGTGTAAAAATTTTCTCTCCCAGGTATCTAGAGGACAGAATGAGCCGAGGCAAGAAACACATGACCACACCATACCATGACAATCGTATAACTTGAAACAGTAAGCGCGCAGTTACACGACATATCCAGACTTTACTTTTTTTGACTATATGTTACAATTTCTTTGGGTTTTTTTTTTCTCTATTTTTGTTTGGAATTTATTTTTGTAAGCATCTTTACCTTCCTACACCATCCTCGTCACCTTTTGATTAATTTACACCTCATACTATTTACTTTAATTCTCGAGCAAAATGTTATCGTAAAGTTCTCTTTCTTTAAAGGCAATTCCCTTGGACTCAAAACAACGTAATATTTTCTTACAAGACAGCATTTTTGCCGTATACTTAGAGGTGAATGGTCGGAATTGTTCAGGGACGGTCTTTTGTTCAAGGTAGACTATAGTCTCAGTTCTGCTCTCACTGAAATTTTGAAATTCGCATTAGTTTTATCTATGTATAATTTTTCAGTTTAAACCCTTCAAACGGTTTTCGTTTGGCTTTGGCTGTTTGTACTCTCTCGGATCTTTTAGCTATTTAAGTAATCAGTTGAGTTTTCCTGTATTTGAGGATGGAACTAAACGAATTCTCTAAAGAAATGTTATTTAACTCCAGTGGTTCATTCATTGACGTAAAGTGAGTCACTGCTTTGTTTAATTACCAAAGTGATCATAAAAGAATAAAGGGGTAAGTTTCTAAAGAAACTGTGGTGCTGCGTCGGTGGGAGAGTATAGCAGGTAATTTAGTGTGAACAACTGGGTTGAAAACGTAAATTAGCCACCGTAAAGGGTAAAAAAGCTGACGTTTCAAGCATTAGCCCTTCGTCAGAGCGATAGACGAAGGGCTAACGCTCGAAACGTCAGCTTTTTTACCCTTTACGGTGGCTAATTTACGTTTTCAACCCAGTTGTTAACACTAAATTACCTGCTGATCATAACAGACACTCAAAGTGACAGGTGTCCATAAAAATTCAGTAATTAAAGATATGATCGCGCATTGAACTTTAGCTAACTTTCGATACCTTCAAGTTAAGCTCATAAGTATGAAACCTTTTACAGCGTAACAAATAACAGCTGAAAGTTGATATAATTCTAGGCATTCTCCTTACCTGATTCATAACTGGCGAACAATACATCCAATTTACGTTTCTGCCGGCTTCTTAACCAAGACCAACCAGACTTTTCCTTTCGACCCTTGTGATTTCAATTGTTAAGCATATTAGTCAAAAAAGTTCGGCTCGATAGAGAAGTCTTAAATATTTCGACAGTCTCAACTTGAACTAATCCGTTTCCAGGATTTTTTAACCTATTCGCACGGAATTAGCTCTGAGCAGAAAAGATGAGTAACAGAACACTGATAGAGCTGTTTGGCCACATCGTATTCAGTTTTACGCGAGGCATGGCAGTGCAATATAATCCACAAGAACATGAATTCAGAGCAGAGTCTTTTGACTACCTTCCTCTACAAAGAACAGGTCTAGAGTGGGACTATCAACCTGTTGATGAGTTTATTTATCAGGAATATAGCGACAGGGAAGTCACAACCTCTGACCCTCTCACAGTCAGCCGCCATCAAGTATTGGTTATAAATGCATGTTCACCAGACGAAATCGAAGAAAAACAAGAAAGTGGACAAGATGAGGACAGCGCAATGTCTTGGAAGCAACTCAGACCATCTGCTCTTTGCACAGTTTTGAAATCAATGTACACTGGAGCTTCGATTTCTCTGCTAACAGCGGCCATCATCGGCTTGCTTTACATGTCAATCTCCTATCTTTGTTACAAAACCGTCCACAACTGTGAATTTTATCCCCACAAAATTCCAGTCTCAGTGCAGTGGGTGAGAACATTATCTACACTAATTTCATGTGCTTTTCTTTACATGTGGAACTTTGCGAGGATGTTATTTCTCTTTCGGCCGTATCAGTTACTAGGAGTGAAAGGAAAACTTGTTCTGGTTTCAATTCTTGTTTACTTTTTAGACGCACTCTATCGCGTGGCTCTACAAGCTTTAGGAATATCTAATTCCAGACTCTCCGTATTCCTAAAGATTCCACTGAACACTTTGTTTCTTATCAGCATATGCTTGCAAGTTTACTTCTTAACAAAGCACTTCTGCTTCCGATCAAGGAGACTTAGACTGAGTCTGTTTTTACAGATGATAATGCCTGGCTGTTTCTGTTTCGTATTTGCTATTGCCATAGCTGCTTTCATTTACCCACTGTTCAACGAACAAAACGAAGATGAAAAACTATTGATAGCAGTCTTCACACCTCTCACTGGGGTCGCACTGAAGGTCATTTCGCGAATTTATGTACAACGATCATGGAACATTACACATCCAGGATATTCCTATGTATTGCTGTCGCCGCTGTACCTTGGCACAGCCGTCATGCTTCGAGTTTTGCAAGCTGATCTTAAGAGCTTACAATCCATGGCCATCCTTGGAATAATTCACGGTGCAGCAGAAGTCATAGAACGAAGTACCATGGTTGTCATCGATCACGTTTGTCATGTTATTTTGAAAAGAAAATTAGCTCCTTGGGGAAGTTTTCGCACGCCTCGCCAAGAGAGATTGATGGCTGATCTTAGCATCACGAGCATTTTGTATGAATCAACTGCTATAGTGTCTGTTAACGGATTTTTGTACTTGTACAAATTTGTCTATTTAGAAAATGTGTCTGTTTTAGAATTGCTGCAGTCTTTTACCGTTCGGACTTCAGTTCAGCTGGTGATTGAGTGGTTTTTCACCAGCGTATCTCTTGCGATTGTGACTCATTATCAGAACATGGCTGTCATGGCTGTTTGGCGAAAAAGATGGAAAAGACACACCCTGGTGGCCATAGTAAATGCAGTTCCTTTGGCTATGTGGACCAGCACAAATCTTTTAATCATTGTGCACGGACGTTTTCAAGAGTCCTCATATCAACCGTGCAAAATGCCGTTTATTTAGCCGGGCGTGATCAAAGCATTCGTTCTCTGGGCGACCCAGTAAAACAGTTTGACTCAGTCTACGCCTCTACTTCCGCGCAGACTCAGAGGAATGAGCGCGAAGTGTCAGCGGCTGGTGATGAGCGCGAAGCACGGAGGACTACGCATTTCCTTCCTCCTTTGTGCGCCCACGGGGTTTTCAGCTGAGAGAAGTCTGAGCACGAGGCAGATCATGTTCTGACTTCTGTAGCGAAGAAGTTAGGGAAGGAATCAAATACATTTCTTGATATTTTAATTCATCTGTGAGCTCTAAGATTCAATTTATTGTCCTCTATTGAATAAATTACGGTCACATGGAAAAAAAAGTTAAGAAACATCGAAGGATCAACAAAAACCGATTAATTAACATCCTTGCAGAATTCATTTCTCTTTTTTTGAAAGATATACTTTGAAATTAAAAGATTAACCTTTGAGATAGAGACATTTCGCCGATTGATACGACCGTTGCAGTTGTTAAAACCGGCGTATCAAAAGAGGCAGAAATATGTAATTTTTCATAGTCTTCCCAGTGGCAGTTTGGGAAGCTTCAATCGTAGCCGATTGGAACAAATTACAACGTGATGTAGCTTGGAGGGTATTTCGTTTTAATACTGGGATTTTCAGATAATGAGCATACAATCATAAGTTAATATATTTTGAACATTTATACACCTGACTTCCTGCCTGAGTTCCTTAATTTTCCCTGATCTCTCTCGCTAATAAGAGGCAAACATGATAGAATCTATATGTACCTTGTGGCCATTGAAAAAACATCACACTGTGTCTATCTGGCGAGTGCCAACAGTTATATGCTTACAGAAAATTTCTTGAGACTTTGAGTGTGTTGTTTGTCTGTTTGTTTATCTTGTTTGCTCATTTAAAGCATTTCAAAATTTTCCTCATTTTAGTTTAAAACACGTTAAACTTCAAGTAGCTCCACTCTTTTGAAGTATATATGGCTGTGTTTGCTGGCAATATATGTATATCATTTTTTGTACCCATTAAATGTTGTCCCTAAGGGATTAAAGGTTGGTTCATTTTCTGTTTATTTACTTGCTCTCTATCAAAAATAAATTCTTTACACCAATACATGTTAATCCACATTGTCTCAATCCATTTTTTCATAGTTCTATAGTGGAGTGTACAGATTCATTTGTTTATGCTAAGTCCCTTTGTTTGCCATGTTCATCCTGTAGGTGTGACATGAGATTACGACCCTGGCACAATGCTTGGTAGAAACTTTGAATTTCAGCAAATGATGATTCAATATGAGACAGGACAGTAAGCTAGAAATAGATGATGGTTGAATATACATAAATGGGGAGGTATTTCAAAGAGTTAACGTTCTTTTCAAAAGAAGATTTTCACCTATTTCTTGGGAACATACTAGCAAGTTTTCGTTTCACTCAACAGTTTATTACTTATCACAGAGTCAAGAATTTAAACTAATCGCAGTGTTGTGGGGCCTGTTGCAAAACTTCAAGAATAGAGTGACCAAAGTACAAGGTTGCTTTAAAAGTTAACATTTTTGAATTTTTAAGCTAATACTGATTTTCACTCTAATTTAAGATCATATATCATGAAATATACCAATTCTGATAGCTGATAAAATAAAATACTGTAACAAATAATGAAAAAAATAAGGTCACACCAAGAGAATTTTTGTAGCCAGACTGTCGCTTTGAACTGTTAAATCAGGTTAACTCTGACATAGATCAAACTTTTAGACACAGATTCAAGTCAAATGAATGCAAGTCACTAATTTGATTTTAAAAAAAAACAGATGTAGAATTATGTACACTAAAGAAAATTGCATTAATAGAAAGATCTGAATCATAATATGCCAAAAGTTGAATTTAAATGACAAAAAATTGTACCAACCAATTGACCATCTGCAAGTGAAAAGTTCTTTATCCACATCATGTTCTCCAGTAGAGTTGGAAAGTTTGCTAAATTAGATGCAATCATAGGCAGAACCTCAGCTGTGTTCCTGAAGTAAACAATAAACAGTGTAATGAGCTTGAGGTATCAAATAAATTAAATGAACAGTGGAAAGAACAGAGTGAATATCAAGAAATCTTTGAAGCTTGACAAGACCACTTGAGAGTCTAGGCAAGTCAAAAAGTTAAAGGACAAATTTCAAACAAATCAAAGCCTGGGAGATTCAATTATTTTGCACACTGAGTAAATTTTTGACTGTCTTTTCAATTTTAACCCTCCACTTTAACAACATGAAGCCTTCAAGATTTCCCTTAGCCAATAGAAAGCTTCTTTGAATTCTTACTTGTGATGTGCAGCATCTATTTCCAGGAATTCTCCTACAAAAGGCTGTTGCAGTCTTGAAATAAGCTCATCCTTTTTCTCAATAATAGCAGACAGCTGATTAGATAACTGCTCTAGCTGTTGACACTTACTTCCTGCACATTCAACAAAAGCATATGAAATTATGAAGCAAATAAAGCATTCATAATATACACAGAATTGTTACAAAGCCTTACAATAACCTTTAATCTTATCTTGTACATGATGTACTTTTAATGACCAAAATTAGAAAATTATTTAAGTTATGGTCAAAGTTAACTTACCAAGTAAATCAACATGAGTTATGTCCCTTGTTTCAGCATCTTTCAAATGGCACTGAATTTCTAGATTTACCTAAAAATTTAAGCGATAAAAGAAATTCAAAGAGTACACTGAGGCTTTTTTGGTTTAACCCTATAACTTCCAAGATCTGATTGTTAATTCTCCCCTCTTGATGCTACCTAATTTCTGCTTAATAACATACAAGAATTTGGTGTTAGATCAAGATTATAACTTCTTCCTGACATCTTTGAGTATTCTCATTACCAGCTTGGTTGATAATGTATAGATATTATAGAGAGAAGGTACATGTTAATCAGGTCTGGGAGTTTATGGGATATTAGAACACATCAGGCTGAGAGTTCCAGTGGTATGTTATAAAGACAGGTCAAAGCAACAGTTTACTTGTACAGTAACTAGTTTGAACTAAGGAGTGAGACATGATCATACAGTCTGGTCATCCAAACGAGAGAAGTCCTGAAAGTAACTGTTTTAGGTAAAGTCAGTAGTCAAATTACCTTGTCTAGAGCTTTGCCAAGTCTTGTGATTTCTCTCAGTAATCTAATTAAAGTCACTGAAGGAGATGTCATCTCAATTCTTCGACGAATTCCTTCAATGTCAACGTTTTTCTGCTCATAAAATAAATGGTAAAATTGAAACTATAAGATGAACTTAAAACTTTTGATAGGCAACATAAAAACCAACAATTAAATGAAAAGGTTTATCTGTTCCTGTGACAATTAAGTCATAAGAGTTTGAAAATAGTAATGTTCTTCTCTTTCCCGTTATTTTTGGCCGCTATACATTTTTTTTTTATCGTACGGTAACGCGGAAAATAGGCTTACAACTGAGCTTCGGCAGATTGTTAAAAGTACTTTCGCTTACTCTATCAATATGGCCCGTCTTTTCGGCAAAATTCACAATATTTTGCAAGGAACCAACATTGATGTACGTAGAAGACGGTGACCATGGGTTGGAAGTATCTTCCACGAAGGAAGAACGAAACATTGTCCCCTGAAATCAAATAAATATTCACACTTATGTTTAAGAAAAAATATGGCGGATTCAGTAGTTTGGAACTCCCGCCTGCCGCGCGATAAGGTGGTAAACAGGGTACGGAGGGTGGGGATACTAAGTTTTAAGCAGGAATCATTATATTTCTTCTGTAAAACATGACATGAAAATTTGGTAATTTATTCTAAATAATGAAAGGAGTTCCGGCGTAACCTCTATAATTCAGAAGTTTCATTTGAACATCTGGAAATTCGGCATGGAAGTTCCTACTCAGCCTGTCCTGGAAAGTGAGTTTTTAGTGTTTTTCAAACGAGGCCACTACATAAACATGGCGGTATCGTGATGAATGAAAGGTTAGTAAGACGAAGGAAAACCAATCTATTACAAGGCAGCTCCATGTAATTGCTAAAATTTTTGTCTTCTTCTTCTTAAAGATAAACGATGAAATGGCTGTTGGCTTTTACGAAACGTCTTAAGTTTCCCGGCAAGTGTGCAAAACAGCTGAAAACATGACTTCACTTGAGCTGGAAAACTACCGTCTTTCAGATGCATTTCATACCTCATTACCTTCGGAACTGTGGTTGGCTATTTTAAAGAACTTAAATCCTGTTTCCGACGATCTCTTATCTCTAAGTTTAGTATGTAAGAAGTGGCGAGAACTTATCTTTTCAAACCCCGATCCTGCTCTTTGGCAAAACATTACACTGGCGAATTTCAGAAACTGCAGCTACGAGAACTTAACCCTCGTGAGGTTCCGAAATATTCTTAAAAGATTTGGGTATCTTTTGAAAGTCATTCGACTACAGAAATGCCACGAATTGTTCACTGAGATGCTGCTCGCTCATGTTTCTTCTCTGACAGCTTTGACTAGCCTTGAAATAACTGGAATGGTGTGGTCGAAAAAGCTACTCAGAATGTTAAGATGTCCAAAATCCCTCAGGAATGTATTTTTGGAGGCCTCCTTAACATCAGATGGGCTCTTCAACCATGATGATTTGCAGTACACAGTAGAAAATTTTCCACAAGTGAAAAACTTTGGCTTGCAATTTTCAGTTATCAAGGCAGATTCTGTAGCCACAATAAAAGGTGTTGTGTCTTCCAAGTACAGTCACCACATAACTTGTCTTTTGCTGGAAAGGGTAAAAATGGAGTGTACTGATCTGCAAGATGCGGTGAAGAAATTAAAAGGACTGAGAAAATTTGGTTATGGCAATGATCAAATTTATGGTCTTCCATCTCGGCATCTTCTGCAGTTAAACTCTAAATCATTGCAGGAAGTTGAGCTTTTCCAAGTAGGGGATTTTGCAAAGTTTCATCTTGTATTTCCATGCCTGAAAAAACTAACCATGAATGCATGCACATCTGTTGGGGAACTGAACATTGAGGCACCAGGGTTAAGAACTCTGTATCTCTCACTATGTGTTGAAGTGCACAACTTCAGAGGAATTTCAGCAAGCTTCTTGCATGAGATGAAAGTCAGAAGATGCCATGCACTCATCCAGGCTGAACTTATTGGTCTCTTGATAAAAAATCCAGATATCAAGGTGTTAGAGCTTGAGGTGTACTGGCCAACTTTACGACTTGATCAAATTTCTACTCCATCACTTGAAAACATTACTATATATGACAATGGTGAGCGTTTGACATCTGTTGATGTCCGTTGTCCCAAACTTCAACAGCTCATTATCAAGAAGTCAATGACAAGATCAACCATCTTGAAAGTGGTGTCAATATTGTCGCACAATGTCAAAAAGGTTGTCCTAAATGATGTACCCTACCTTCAGAAAGTCAGCATTGATGCTGATACAGTCAAACATTTAGAAGTAAACTTTGAAAGAAGGTTAGACCATGTGAAACCACCGAAATTCACAAAGCTGCACTTCAGGAATAAATCACATCCAGTGAAAATTGGCCATTTGATTTTAAAGCGATGCAATCTCAATGCAATTCTCTTTACCAGTTGCAATGCACGTCACATATCTCTGGAATACTGCAACCTTGATTGCCCAATAGGTGACATGATCCAGCAGTGTGGCTTGGTGGAGTCTCTGACTTTGAAGAACTGTTATGGCCCATGTCAACTCAATCTGAGTGGTGCACACTTAAGGGAGGTTCACATTGTATCCTGTACATCACTTCTTATGGACCACATTAATTTATCATGTCCATCTCTTGTGGCATTAAATGTCTCTGGTCTGTCCTTCTTACCTAGTCAAGAAGAAGTTGACCTTATTGCTGGTAATGTCAGAGAGATTTCTCCTTTTCTTGGATCTGTTAAATTTTCTCACTAATTCTACATATTGTTTGCATATCTTTGTTGTGATTAGTTGTAGGATGGTGATGAAGTAGGTTCTAAAATTGTGGGAGTTTCTGTTTAAAACTGATGAGATTACCTGTCTCAAAGTTTTCCTTTTAACCCTTTAACTCCCAGGATGAGATTGTTCATTCAACTTGCTGGCAGCTACAGATTTCCTTGTAAATTAGTTACAAGAATTTGATGTTTGACTATTCTCATTGCCTTTTTGCAGAAAAATGTGTGATTATTATTGGGAGAACTTACATGTTAATGACTTCATTTTATTTAAGAGGATTTAAGAGGTTAACCCTTTCACTTCCATGAGTGACCAAGACAGAATTTCTCCTTACAATATCAATACAATATCAAGCAGACAAGTGATGAGAATAAAGAAAAACATCAGTTAGGGGATTATAAGCTGATCCAGTACCAAATTCTCCAAACTAACATGAGAACTGTATGGCAGACAGTAAAGAGAATTACTAAAGAGAACTTGGGAGTTAAAGGTTTAAAAATGTGGGAGAGGGGAAGGCTTTTTATTTTAAACTCACAAGACATTCCTCAACAAACAGCACATACAAAGTTAAGGAATTTGAGACATAAATGATGGTGTGGTCCATCACAAATCTTGTTGCCATGATTTTTTCAATCATCTGCCATCTAAACAGAATGAAGGGAATGCTTTTGCTTATATGCTCAAAAGATACCTTGACTTCTCAAATAAAGGGTGATTCATCATTAACAACCATGCAAGACTAATGTCCATGATTTTCACCTTCAAGTGAGGTATCTTTTTTAAAATTTCATTTCATTTTTTTTAATTATGAAGTTATAAGAGTACAAGAAATGACCAAATCTGGTGAGGAAGCCCATGGGAAATCACAGGGCTTTGCCTTATGAACTCCCGCTAGCAAATATTATAGCCTCAATTTTTCATATGATTCTTTTCCATGGGTTTAATTTTTTTTAAGTGAGAAACAGTCCAATAGTCCTCTGAGGGCTGGATCATTTTCTTCATTTTCCTTTTTCTCCTTTGTTTTCTTTCAAAATGATTAAAATGCTTTACAATTTTACATCAAAATGGTGAAACCTAACTTCTAGGGAACTTCAACAGTCTCCTTTTCAACCTGAAATTTTCTTATGACTGGTAAGTGTGGTCTTTTATTGAAAGAGGAAATGAGTCATACATTGAAATTTTTGGACTTAACCAGTGAAAATTCACAACAAGATTTATGTTGATATGTGGGGAGAAGGTTAATCAAAATACAGATTATTGAAATTAAGATGTAATAGGTAGTACAGAAGTATATTTTCATGTCATCTCCCACAAAGGATGATAAAAATGACTTTCTGTTTTTTAGAAAATGTGTGTTGCCAACTGGAAAATGGCTGTCATTTCTATCCAGCTTGGATTTTGCAAATTATGATAATTAAGTAAAATTCTATTTTGACTGTAAATTAAGCATTTAATTTATTATCAATGATATTTAATCAATTGGAGCATTCAATTAATCTTTTAAATTTTATTTATGTTAGGTTTCAAAAAATAGGATAATTAAAACCACCATATAAATTCTATTGTATATACTGTTATTCGAGAACCATTGAAAATAAATTTGTGAATCCAAAGTTGAATTGCCTTATCTGGTATGACTTTCAGCAAGCTATTGCCCCTCAGACAGTGTACTATTTGATTTACCACCATGAATTTAGCCAGTCAGTCAGTCATTTAGATAGTTGTTTAGGATGATTTTAGACATTGGTGTCCCACTTAAGACCACTGTCCAATTTTAAACACTAGTGGCCAATCCAAGAGAGGGGTGTCCCATTTTAGAAACTAGTGTCCAATTTTAGACTTAGGTGTCTGATTTTGGACACTAGGCTCCAATCACAGACCAATTTTCAATTTTAGACTGTAGTGTTCCATTATAGAAACTGTTGCTTCTTTTCCATTTTAAGACTGCAGTGTCCCATTATAGAAACTAGTGCTTCTTTTCCATTTTGAGACTTTAGTGTCTCATTCCCCATTTTAGACATTAGTGTCTAATTTTTAGATGCCAGAGTCTGATTTTCGACACTAGTCTCCAATTGTAGACTCTAGTCTCCAATGTAAACATCACAGACCAATTTCCAATTTTAGACTGTAGTGTCCATTATAGAAACGTGCTTCTTTTCCATTTTGAAACATTTGTTTCCAATTTTTGATTTTAGACACAAGTGTTTGATATCGATTTTCAACAGTAGTGTCCAAGTCTCCCATTTTAGACACTAGTGTCCAGTTTCCCATTTTAGACATTAGTGTCCAATCTCCAATTTTAGTCACGAGTGTCTCATTTCTGATTTTTGACACTATTGTCCAGTTTTCAATTTTTTGACACTAGTATCCGATTTCCAATTTTAGCCAGAAGAGTCCAATTTACAACTTTATTTCCAATTTTTGTTGTTACTGTCTGTTTTCAGATATAAGTGTCTGATTTCCAATTTTAGTCACTTGTGCCTGATTTTTTAATTTTATACACCAGTGTCTAATTTTCAACTTAAAACACTAGTGTCCGATTTCCAGTTCAGAGCACTAATGCCTGATTTTCAAATCAAGACACCAGTGTCCAATTTCCAATTTTAGACACTAGTGTCCGATTTCCAATTTTAGACACCAGTGTCCAATTTCCAATTTTAGACACTTGTGTCCAATTTCCAATTTTAGGCACTAGTGTCTAATCTCTAGTTTTAGACACTAGTGTCCAATTTCCAATTTTGGAAGCCATTGTCCAATTTTAGATACTCATGTCCAATTTCCAGTTTTAGACACTAATTAATTAATTTTAGACACTAGTGTCCAATTTCCAATTTTAGACACTAGTGTCCAATCTCTAGTTTTAGACACTAGTGTCCAATTTCCAATTTTAGACACTAGTGTCCCATCTCTAGTTTTAGACACTAGTGTCCAATTTCCAATTTTAGACACTAGTGTCCAATCTCTAGTTTTAGACACTAGTGTCCAATTTCCAATTTTAGACACTAGTGTCCAATCTCTAGTTTTAGACACTAGTGTCCAATTTCCAATTTTAGACACCATTGTCCAATTTAAGACACTCATGTCCAATTTCCAGTTTTAGACACTAGTTATTAATTTTAGACACTAGTGTCCAATTTCCAATCTAAGACACTTGTGTCCAATTTCCAATTTCATATACTGGTATTCAATTTTAAACACTAGTGTCCAATTTCCAATTTTAGGCACTAGTGTCTAATCTCTAGTTTTAGACACTAGTGTCCAATTTCCAATTTTAGAAACCATTGTCCAATTTTAGACACTCATGTCCAATTTCCAGTTTTAGACACTAGTTATTAATTTTAGACACTGGTGTCCAATTTCCAATCTAAGACACTTGTGTCCAATTTCCAATTTCATATACTGGTATTCAATTTTAGTCACTTGTGCCTGATTTTTTAATTTTATACACCAGTGTCTAATTTTCAACTTAAAACACTAGTGTCTGATTTCCAGTTCAGAGCACTAATGCCTGATTTTCAAATCAAGACACTAGTGTCCAACTTCCAATTTTAGACACTAGTGTCCAATTTCCAATTTTAGACACCAGTGTCCAATTTCCAATTTTAGACACTTGCATCCAATTTCCAATTTTAGGCACTAGTGTCTAATCTCTAGTTTTAGACACTAGTGTCCAATTTCCAATTTTAGAAACCATTGTCCAATTTTAGACACTCATGTCCAATTTCCAGTTTTAGACACTAGTTATTAATTTTAGACACTAGAGTCCAATTTCCAATCTAAGATACTTGTGTCCAATTTCCAATTTCAGATACTGGTATTCAATTTTAGACACTAGTGTCCAATTTTTAATTTTAGACACTAGTGTCCAATTTTTAATTTTAGACACTAGTGTCCAATTTCCAATTTTAGACACTAGTGTCCAATTTCCAATTTTAGACACTTGTGTCCAATTTCCAATTTTAGACACTTGTGTCCAATTTCCAATCTTAGACACTAGTGCTCGATTTTCAACTATAGACACTAGTGTCCGATTTTCAATTTTAGGCACTTGTGTCCGGTATTTGACACTAGTGTCTGATTTCCGATTTTGGGCACTAGCATTCGATTACAGACTCTAGTGTTCGATGCAGTATTGTCCGACTTAAGACACTAGTGTTGGATTTTAAACAATAGTTTCTTAGCTTGGACCCTGGTGTCCGATTTTTAAGACTAGCGTGCGCGTTTGGACACAAATTTCCGCTTTCAGTGTCTAATTTCAGACACCCTCGTTCGATTTCAGACACTTTTGTTTGATTTTGGGCCCTGGTTTTATTTGGGCACGCCTCTTCAATTTCGGACGATATGGTGGTTTATCGTTAGATGTCAGTATTGTTCGATTTCAGGTACAAGATTTTAATGGACCGTTTCATGAAGACTCAGTCGTGAGGAAATGTTTGCCATAGTGCTGTGATCGTTGACATATTCTTTTAGCTGAGTAACGATTACAATTATGGCTTAGCTATATAATTTCTATAGCTGAGTAAGAGAGTAAGGGTGAAAAGAATTAGATTTGTCTCAAAAAAAGTAGTAAAGTCTTCACTGAACGGAGTAAAGCCTTCCAACTGTCCTTAAAATATGTATTTGCTGTCAAAGATAAGTGTATCTTGCGGGTATTCGTTAAAAGAAAAATTGGCATAAAAATTTATCATAAGCATTTAAACCTATTCGTTAGTCGTAAAAGCTCACAACAATAATGCTGTCTTGTATAAACTGATTTTTAATCATGCATAAATTACTCAGAAAGGTGGATCTGACAACCGCCTCTGGAAAGAATCCACCGTTTCGATGGACTCCATTATGAGTACTAAGGTGGAAACACCAGTAAATTAGTTGCCACCTGAAAAGCCCTTGAAAACTCATTAACTGATACCTCCAAAAGCGTTGTTATTATGTTTCTAAGGCAACAGTGGATAGGGTTTCGAGTGGATAGCGATTTGTGCAATGCGAGGGTAGCAAATAACAGATCAAGGGTACTTGAGGTTGCTTAAGGTTTCCACTTTATTTTCCATTTTTTTTTCTTACTTGGAAATGAGGGGAACTCTTTAAATTAGTTAAAAGAAATTAGAAGCTGGCGTCTGAAAAATATTTTTTACATTTTAGAACTAAATGCCTCTTAGCTAAGCTTGTAAAGGTTTAAAAATCGACACGAAACATCATGCTCTCTTTAATAGCATAATATTTCCGTATAGGAAGTCGTTTTTTTTTCTCCGTTTTTTTCCTAAGGAAAGTGAAATCATGGGCTCAGTCTATGATACTAATCCAAAGTCTCTTACTCGATGCCAACAAATATGTGCAAAAGCCAACAAGTTTTTTTTTTTTCATTATCCTTTATATCTCGGGATTTTGCTTTTCAAAATATATTAAAATGTTTTATCACAAAGATCGCTGAACATCGAGTGCCTGTCCATGAGTAACTTGAAACCGCAAGATAAAACAGAACTTGCTGGGAGCCTTAACTTCGTTCCTTATCGATGCTTCATAAGATGTTGTTTTGGCTTGGAGTATGATACATATATGTCGCTTGGGTTTCCATAATTAGCTGTTGGGCAAAAATTTGTCTTGCATGTTTTTAGGTCGTTTTTGAAGCTATTGTCAGAATTGATTTTTTTCCGAACAAAAACATCTTCCATATATAATTACTATATGGACTTTCTTGTTTAGTTTACAAAAGTGAATTTTGTTTTTCGGGCTTTTCGTCAACATGGCAGGTGTTCGCTTTCAATTAAGTTGTCTGTCGAATTGCATGTTTTTCAGGGATGGGTAGGGGAATATTAAAAACAATAGTAAAATCAATTTAAAAAGGGCTGCTTGTTTGATTTTCTGCGGTGGCAAACTGTTATGATAATCGATTATAGAGATTAAGAGAGCTTTTTAGAATTTTTTTTGAAAATAAAGATGAAAGAGGAAGTGACGAAACTATCTTCTCTCTCCCCTCCCCTAGTTACCAGTATAACCTGTGTCTGTTATACCATGTGGTCTGCGGGAAATGATTGGCGCGGATTCAGGACAGTTTGCATGGGTCTTGTTCTTGACAGCGAGAAAATTTTAACATTTCTTTGCTTTGCGTTGTCGGTCATTTACGGTTTGTGTCCGATCAGCCGATGGAACAACAAGTTCTGAGCTCGTTACCCGCGGAGATTGCTCCGTCGGGAGGCGGAACGGCAGAAATCGGGTCGATCTCGAAGGAAAGTGAACTGGTAAGTTTTGGTGACTTTTGTGGTTCAGCTGCATCGTACGTATCTTTGACAGTTGGTTAATTATCATCGTTGAACACTAACATAAAATCTTTAAAATATCCAGCCTCATATACGTCTGACAACACAGACGAACAGTTCTTGAATCCTTCTAAAGTTCTGAATCTTATAACAGTTTCATCAAAAGTGTCAAGTCATGATCTGACACATTCGGGATGTTGTTGATGCCCAACTAAGGATCTACAGGTCATAATCGAAACAAAAATAAATGTTGATTTCCAGTTTGCGGCTCCAAACAGAACCCGGATCTAGTTTACCTGAGCGAACTGAAGTAAAATATCGAAGACGTGATATTTGAGCTCTTGATTGTTCTGTTAGCGTATCGATGGGCGATGAAATCAGTCTGGTCGTTTGCTACACTTCACTGTTTATACTCAAACGTAGTCTTTGTGAAATTTGCGGTGATTATTAGTTCACTAGTTTCATTGGTATTTTGTGCTAAGAATATCTAGCTTTCTCTGTATTTGTGCATCGGAAGGAAAAACGCACGCAACATTTCCGCTTTCATTTGAATTCTATGTTTAATTTTCATCGTTAAGAAAAATACCACCGCAGGCCTTGTGACGTTTGCTATAATTTTTGGCCGAGTGATAAATATTGTCACTTTCGTTTATTTGATCGGCGAGAACGCGATAGACTTCCGCTAGCCTAAACGACTTAAGACAAATTGCATCTGGTACACCGTCCGATCAAATGATAGTATCATATTTTGCATCGCGATAAGCTTGAGAGCTTCCTCCCGCGGCCAAACACGAACGGAATTAGTGAGGTTATCGAACATTTCATCGATCTATCTGCAGTGAATGGTTATCTTGTAATAAAATGAGTAATGTGGCTGGAGAAAGACAGTTTACCTTTATTGTGCTCTAGACAAGTGTCATATGTCTGACAGGTCAAGATTTGAAGTAATAATAAAATCTTGATTAAAAGTATTCATTACAAAGACACGAACTATACGCATTGTAGAAAAGGCGTCCGTTGGAACATTGGCCAAACAACATTTTGTTTCTGTGATCTTATTCCTAATTACCGTTCAAATTGAATGGAATCCGCTCCTGAATTTATCTGCAAAGTTTGTGGAAACACGATGTTGGCCCAAGAAACATATCAGGTTTGAAATCACAAACAATGTCATACACGTAATAAACAATCTCGACGTTCAAAGCACTTCACTCAGATAGTATTGGGTTTTGCTTGGAATATTTGTACTTTTCGCACAGGAGCTATGCAGTTAATTATTCATTTTTAGGCAGTACTCCAGGAATGCACATACCGGCTTCTTTTTAGACAAAGGGTGACTCAAGTGAGTGAGATTGAATGTCAGAATATTGCAGCTTTACTCAGCAACAACGTAAAGGATTTACAGTTAAAGATACTTAAGAATCATTGAAACTCAACACTCACATAACTTTGGCAGGGTCAAAGTTGGAAAAAGAAGTAGCTACAGATAGAAATCAAGTTATATTCTGATTGAGAACAGTATTGTGTCTGTTAATTTTATCCCTGATATACAGGGGCGTATAACTCCTTGAGAGTTCTGACCTCAAACATAGTCATACTGTGTTGAGAACAAATTTAGTTCACTCAAAGTAAATTATTACACATTTTTTACAACATGAATGTATAAATGCAGATTTAATTTACTGAAGAGACCACTTTGGAAAGTCACGAAATGTCAATTTTTCCATTTCATGTTCCTCAAGTGTTATAGGTAAATTTTTTTCTCAAAATAGCATTTACAAAAAATTGAAAAATTCATCAACCCTTTGACTCCCAGAAGTGATCGTCATGAAACTTCTCCTAATAATATCCTATATTCAAACTTATTAGGTACAAGTTGTTGTCTTGATCTAACACCAAATTCTCTTAACTAATCTAAAAGAAAATGTGTTGTAGCTAGAGAGGAGAATTACTAATCAGATTTTTAGAGTTAAAAGGTTAATTAAAGAAAGTGAAATCTAATCCATGCTGTAGAGAGTTGTCAAACTCACATTCCAGATATGTTCCAGATATGTGTGAGGCTTCCTGTTCATTAGTTATGAAATGAACACATTTCTATTCTTTCTAAAGAAAATAAACCTTACCACAATTGTTGTGGCCTAAGGTCTCTTTTTTAAGTAATTATTTTTTTTAATTGTTATGAGAGGCTGGAACACATTTCTAAAATTGACTGGAATGAAAAATGTAACTTATCATAATGACAATTTTCAAAAGAAAATGTCCTTATGACATAAGGGTTTGTGGATGTGATGTTGTGCTGTATCCTTGGTTGATGTTTTTCATCTCTAAATTTATTTTGTAGTCTGATATTTTGTGAACAAAAAGGAGTTTTAAGCCATTAATATTTAAGCCCCCCTGGTTCAAAATGAGGTTTTGGTCATTATGCTTGGAAAATAAATATTATAATAGCTATTTGCTTGAGTTCTGTATTTCATGTAATTTAGACAATTGGTGATAATGACAATTATATTTTCACTTTAATGAAGAAGTTTGAATCTCTTGCCAAAACCAAGATCATGTCATGTTTTTTAATTTACATTTTAAGTGTAAAATCACAAAACCACAGAGAGACAAAATGATCATTGTTACATGAAAAGCAGTGTTTTTCCGCATAAGAATTAGCAACTGATCTGTGTCTTGTCTTTCAAAAAAATAATTTTGAAATGTTGTAGTGTTACCCATTGCTTAAGTAACACAATCTCGTGGCCTGATATGCACTCTGAAGACAAGTACTAGCACATCTGTGCCGTGTGGTGTTTGTCTTTGATCTATGATTGGCTCAATAGTCAATATGAAATAAATTTAATAATGAGCTTGGATTGTATAATTGAGTCTCATTTACTCTTAATAATAAAAAAGCTCATTACTCCATTTACACTCGGTGTCATTCATATCCCGATTTGCTCCAGATGTGATGGACTTCTACAGAATTTATGTAAGTCTTGTATACTTTTTTGTGAGGAACTACAACACAGGATATATGAAATCCTCATTTTTTTATGTTGGTGTCTTGTAAATACATTGCAAATATGTGCATATCATGTACAGTTATTTAAGACAGTCTTGCATTTCTCATTTAGCAAAGAATTTTTGTGTCTGGGAATCAATCTGTACTGTGACCGTCTGTGAAATCTTCCCAAAACCTAGGAATTTTTTTTTTGTTGGGAACAGTACTTCCTTCTCAATTTGAACAACTGTTCAATGATGTATAATCTTGCCAATTGAACAGATAGAAATAAGTGCAGTGTAAGTGCCAGCACTTTGTTTCAATACAAATTTCAGTCATTAATTTTGAATTTGAATCAGATCACAAAGGAATTGGAAAAACAAATAAGGATAAATTTCAAGTCATGCATCCAATTGAATCTCCATGCTTTGTAGGTTAACTGATGTTTTGTGTAATAGTGTGGAAACATGAATCACAATGTTCTTATGTTTTTTAATTTAACACTGAGAGTTTTCAAAAATATATCCTGACACAAAACAAATGTTTTGCTTTTTTGTAAGCTATACATTTTGAAATATTCATGAATTTGTCATTTTTTTTTCAAGCCTTAATTATTTCTTAAATGCAAAGAAGATTGCAGCTTTTAAATTTCTGTTGTCTGCATGCAATTATAGCTTACTTTCTTTTAGGAAAATTAAGTTGTAAATGCATGATGCTGTATTGAGAGGAAAGTTCTTTCTGGTATGATTTAAAATAGGCTAAAAAGAGGGGAAAAAACCGAGGAGACTGAATTATCATCACAGACTGAATTATCATCCAACAAGGAACAATGTAGCTATTGAATCCAAATTATTTCTTCAAGGAGCTTAAAATACTTCAGAGGTAGTTGATATTTTTGAAGTAAGGAAACTAATTCTTGTGTTATTTCCTTTGCCATCTTTTCACCTTATCCTTTATTATCTCCACATTGTATTTCTTCTTTAAATTAAAAAAATGCATGTGTATAGAAGGTGGAATTGGCAGAAAATAAACTTTAGGAAACCCAATGATTGAGACAAACAATAAGCTGTTCATTAATTAATGTGGGAAGTGATAATCACCCCATTAAGTATTTGGAGCCACTATGTATTACATTATACAATTTGTCATATTCATTACAGTGTAAATACAGGGAAATACTTAGAGGGCAGAGGGAGAAGCTTTAATGAACTGTTATTTTTTCCTTTTCCTCTTATCCTTTTTCTATAGCAGAACTTGATGTTATCAGTTGTAAAATAACAATTAAAAGCTTAAGAATGAAGTAGTATAGAGAACAGACGTTTTGTAGAAGTATACGTGTAACCTTTCACATCTGAAGTAAAATTTTTTTTCTAGTTTTGAATTGGTATTGCTTAGTCAAGTTGAAATTTCCCATGTCTAATATTGAAACTGTCTATGAGAAATACTCTGCTTTGCTCATCTTTAAATTATAAAATGTAGTTGCGAGATGTCGTAAAGTGTAAATAAGTGTTAAATAGGTAAAAATGGTACATTGATTAGAACCATTAGGGGCGTCGTGGAACATAATTAAACTGTGCTACATGGTTAGTCATATCTCAAATTTAATTTCAACCAAAGGAAAGTGTGTCTAAACAGAGTTAGAATAGATACCTGTTATAGAACGCACTGAGCAGGTGAAAGAAGGTTCTCTCCCATCCCTTTGGCTCTGCTGTTGTGTACCAAGTTTAGTGACCCATGTCCCAATAGATCTTAAATTTAAATGTGACAATTGCCCCAGTGCTGATGTTATGACTTGATTAACATACAAATTCTCTGAATATCATTGCCATGTTACCTTTTGTTTTGTTTGGAGAATTTCTAGTGAATTTATATTCTACCAGTTGTTTGTTGATTTACTTTTTAATAGCCACAGTTGACATGATCAGTTGTTTGCAGTTTGTGTTTTGAAAACAGTTACAACATTTGTCAGTGTGAATTCATGTTTTTTTTTAAATAGTCTCAGTGGGAAAAATATGAATAATTACTTATAGAGTTCATATGTAGTGCTCATTAAAGGAAGTTTTTATTGTGAAAATGGTGTGTTGATGAACCTTACATCTTAGAGTGTTCTGCAGCTGGTAGGGCAGAGGTGTTAAATTATTCATAACTTGTGTTGAAACTAAATTAGATTGCTTTGAAGCCTTCCAAACTACATGTACATGCAGGGGTCACAGCGAAAACTCAGGATTTTTATCATGGAGGTGAAGTTTTCTTTGTCTGTTAGTCTCCTTTTTTCTTTTGTATATTGTTGCAATAACTGTTTAGCCCCCATGTTGAAGGAGACTGAGCCATTGTTCAGATTCATGGTGTTAAAGTGAAAGTACAACTGTATTCAATTTCTTTTACTACAAAATAATGTGTTTTGCTTGTGGACTTTATGGAATCAGATTGTAGTTGTGTTTGACTGTGTGGAATTGTCAGAATAAGTAGCAATTCAATCTCTTGCTTTAGTGTCTTGAGATTTTGATACAGGACTTCAATGGCTAAATTATTTTTGTTCAACATTTATGTGTATGTTTAGTTAAGGTATGAGATAAGTTTCACTTGTGGTTATTTTATGGAAGCCAAATATTAACATTACATAGTTCACTCTGTTGGAAATGTTTAAAATTATGATAATTTGGCAGACACTAAAAAACAGAAGAAAATTTCAGGCCATTGTTCCCAAGCCAGTGTTTCATTAGTATGACCTACTTCCATTGTCTCCACTCAACCAGAGTACAATCATATATTACAATTTCCTTTGACAATTTCTGATCCATATTGTTAAATTTTTTGATCAATGATTGATTTTAGAGAAAATCATTTTTAGAAACAAAGAACTGACAGAAATTTTGTATTTGGGTTAAAGTTTTGTGTCAGGCTAATTACTTTACTAGGTACCTTTGTGTTATGAAAGGGAACTTTTTACTTCAACTAAAGCTAATTTAGGGGCAGGTTGTTGCATGGTAGTCTACTAAACTGCATTAATAATGAATGTCACTGAGCAAGAATTTGTTTTTATATAGAAAGACCACAATAAGTTACTGATGAATTATTAATTAGGCTTAGGCACTTCTCAATGGAAGGCTTCCAAGTAACCTTTTCACAGTCTCTGTCCCACAGAAATGTTTAATTCCATGAAATCAGAGATTTGGAATGGAAAAATCCAGTTTGGAAAGTAACCATCAATAATCCTGAAAACAATGAATTGATTTAATGATCAAAAGAAAGAACTTCTAGCTATGTTCCCTGAGATGTATTAAATAGAAAATTTTTTAATACAGGAGTTTTTGTTGTTGTTTTTTTTTTTACCTCATATTGCTGTAGCTTTTCTCTTACCATAAAAATTTTTAATTTGTTGTGGACAAACACCATTATGATGCTGTTTTTTGTTTGTTTGTTGTTTTTTTTTTTGTGATAGCTTAAATTGAGGTCATCCTTTATATGAATTTTAGGAAAAAAAACATCTCATTTTCAGTAAAGGAAAAATGATAAATTCTTGCAGAGAGTAATTACATTGTAAGGCTGGAAGTACTTGTTGTCTGTAACCATGAGTTCAGGTCACTTATGGCAACTGTGAGTCTTGCTAGGGTAGTTCTTATGAAACCCTTTGGACAGAAAAGTCAACACCATGTAATCCCTACCCTAAACAGTCTGATTGGATTCTAATTTTCAAAGTCCCCTTATTCTTTTTACATTTTTATTGCCTTACAATAACTTTTGATAATTCCAATTATAACTGTTGACAATTTTTTTTGTCTGTTGTTATTAGGTTAGCAATGGTGTCCAGTACACGCAGCCACTCTCTCTTCAACCCTACACAGAGGTTGCTGTGGCTCCACCCATGGACCCTACCCAACCATTACAATTACAGACACAGACACACCAGCTTCAGCCATCAGAACTACTCACTCAGAATGGTGACACAGGACCAAAGAGGCTACATGTCACTAACATCCCTTTTAGATTTAGAGATCATGACTTAGTTCAAATGTTTGGGGTTTGTATTTCAATTATTGTTTTATTACTTTTAGTCTCCTTAAACTCCCATGAGAGACAAAAACAGAATTTCTTCTTAAAGTATCAAAACACTATCAGGCAGACAAGTGATGAGAATAGAGAAAAATATCAATTAGTGAATTAACATTTGATCCAATGCCAATTTCTCTGAACCAAAATCACAAGAATTGCGTGGAAGACAGTGAGTGGAATTATTAAGAAGGTTGTGACAGTGAAAGGGTGAACTCTATCAGGATGTTGATCATGTATCACAGATCAGAGAATTCTCCAGCTACAAAGGGCTTAAATCTCCCCCTAATTTTCACTGGCCAGTCAAGTGCTTTTTTACCTGGAGGTGAAGGACATCCCCTTTTTACATTACAGTATTTTTCTATATTCATTTCTTCTTAAAAACCCTGGTATATTGAGCTTTTTTATTTGTGTATCATAGAAGCAAAATAAATTGTGCAGTCAGATCTGGTTGATTACAGCAAATGAAAATAATCTCAAGAGTATCTGATATCAAATTTCTCCCAATGACATCACCCTTAAATCAAATATTAAAGTCCTGAGAATAAATGAAATTATCTATAACTTAAAAAGCATACTATTGTTAGACAAATTTGTGGTGTCAGTACAGTAAGAGACATGTAGAGAACAGTGAAGAATACACATACTTACATGTATGTGAGGGTGTTAAGGGTTGATTCCAAATTGCCCTGTTAACCCTTTGGCCCCTAGCATCTAATTTCTCCTTACAATATCACCCCTGAATCATGCTGTAAGGTCATGAGAATAAAGGAAATGATCACCAACTAAAGAAACTCTTCATTGCTAAACAAATTCTCCTTGTCAGCATCTTAGGAAGTGTATAGAGAAGAGTACGAAGAATATACATACTGATGTCAGGGTGTAAAGGGTTAACTATTTGAGAAAATTTGATATTTTTTTCTAAGTAGATAACATTCCTAGATAACAAAGATAGTAGATAAGATACATTAATTTTATTTAAGATGAGAAGAGGTTACATACTGTGTACTATACAACTGAGTACTTGAATCTTATTGCGTCCAGCCGTTATGATGATGTTACATCTGGTCTATCCACAGCAATTTGGTTCTCTGGCAGATTGTGAAATCATCTACAATGAAAGAGGATCAAAGGTACTGAAAAGTTGAAATATGTCTTGATTGGTACATGCTAAGTGCAATTGATTTGTCCTATGAATATAACTATATCAAATGGGAAAAATAATACATGTTTCGATAAAATTTTTTCTTTTTTTGTTGAAGTTGAAATTCAGTACCTTTAACAAGATTGTTTTGAGTTGGGGTACAACACACATATCTTGTCCAGTTTGTTCAGAGATCTTTAAGATATTTTTTTTCCTGTATGCCATTCATCTCAAGCTGAATAAAAGCTTTTGGGTATAGGGTTGTTTAAGGAATGTGAACTCAAGAAGTAAGAGTTTACTTGTGTCCTCAATGTGCACATCCTTAATTTACTTAAAAAAAAAAAAAAGATGTGGACATAGTAGCACCTTCAGAGTCATCAACCCTAACCCCAAGCAAGTTATTTTTAAAAAAAACCCAGTGTGAATGTTCTATCTATTTTGAACCAATCAGAAACAATAAAATGATGACTTGAAAAATGATCATGAACTGTATTTTCTAGGGTTTTGGATTTGTGACATTTGTGAATTCTGCTGATGCAATGAAAGCAAGGGAAAAACTGAATGGAACTATTGTGGATGGAAGGAAAATAGAGGTTGGAATCTAATTTTTGTGAAGTGTAGTTTACTTGTTTGCATTCCACTTTTTTGTACTCCACTTTTTGTTCCTGCATGTGTGCATGATTCCACATTGACACTGATAATTTTTCACTTAGGTAAACAATGCAACCCCTCGACCGCACGCCAAAAAAAGTCCGGGCCAAAATCGAGGACCCTTAACCAATGGTACAGCATGCTTTGTTCCCCTTCTCGTTTCATTGATCTGTAGTGGCATGTTCTGTGTGTAAGAGATTGCATGTGTCCTCCTGTATGGAGTACTGATTTGGCAGATAAGTATGAGTTGTATGCAGTAAAAGGTTCGATTCTTCAGGAGTAAAATGTCTGCCAAATATTAGTGTAAATTTGTCATATTTTTATTTCCTTTGTTGTCATATCTGTTTTAGCAGTTAAAATTTTGGTAAGGTGTTTATTCTACAGTACTAAATTTACTTGGAACATGACTCTTTGGCTTGACAAATTAAAATTGTTATTATGTAGATTTTGTACGTCAAAAAGTCGTAAGCGATTCATCATTAAGCCAAAGGTTATCAAAAAAGCGGGCTTACTTCGCACATATGAGTTTTAACATTTTTAAAGTTGGTTTTATGACGTTCAAGAGAGGTTTTGTTGCAAGTTTTCTGTATGACTGAATAAGGTTGTATTTTTGCTTTGGATCTTTTTGTCTGAAGTCTGCAATTCATCCATCCTGCAATTTGTAGGTAGTTTTGGCAAAGTTATGTTGCTCCAAGTACAGTTAGGTTTCTCATTAAAGTGCCAAGTTTGGATTTCACTTTTTTTGCGCTGTAATGTTTGAATGAAGAGCCAATGAGCTCCTTAGACGTGTAGTCTTTCTTCCAGAGCAAAAGTTATAACTGATCACTCAATCAAACTTTTATTCGGCGTGCTTCTCTGATATCTACTTCCACGTTCAAAAAGTGTCATCTATATCGAACTTTTGTGTTCTAAAACACCAATAAATTGAAAAAACAGTTTATGAGAGAGATAATGACCGTAAGTAACTGTGTTTTTCAGGTACAGCGTTTCGTGGCATGAGAGGAGTTCGTCGGCCTTCGCCGGTAAACAAGTTTAGCACTCGGACAATTCAACCTCAGGTCACTGCATACAATGGCGGCTATACTGGGTAAGCAAAGGATGCTTTAAAAACCCTTTGGTCAAAGTTCCATGTTATTACTTTAATATTGTGTAAGTAAAGGATATTTCGGCCAAACCAAACCAAAGCTATTAGAGAAGATATTCAAAGTAAAATGGAGATATCTGAAAGAGTAACGAAAGCGCAGAGTTATAGCAAGGGAACTCTTTGAAGCGCGGGAAGTCGTGATTCATTTTAGTTTTAAATATGATTGGTTATGGAGGTGGCGCGGGTTTTTTTTTTTTTTTGACCAATCAAAAAGCAAAGAAAAGCAAAACCATGGCTTATGAAAACTGCACAAGTCCATTATGAAGAAAAAATGGTGTTTTGTCTGTTGACCACAAAGTTTAACTTCTCTATCGATCCACTGAACTTACTGTTCTGCTTTATATTATCCTTTCGCAAACTTACCTTACCAAACACTTTTGCCCACCATTGCAACCTCTTTTGCCTCCTGGGTGAATTCAACTTATGCCGCGTATTGTTCGCATATTTCAAAGAAACGAATCACAAAGCCAAACTGAACACGATTTGAGTCAACTGTCAGTTGTAACCGCGTTCTTATGGCGGGAAATTATTACATTGTTATTGGTTCAGCTTCCAGTACATTGTGGAGAGATTTATCTTTTTTTTTAACCAGTGATATACAAATATGTTAAACTCTCTCTTTTCTCGTGTTTATATATTTTTCCAAAGTCCAGCTTTATTTAGTCAGAACTACTGGTGTAATGGGATTTTTGACTATCTAAAACCCGAAAATATTCCGAAGACGGGAAGTTGGGGTTGACCCCGCCTTATAGAGGGTTTACTGTGGCTTAGATAAGCCTACTGAAAGCTGAAACAATAACAATGTCACTCTAATAATTTCCTGCCAAAAAATCGCGGTCGCCACTACACATGGAAGCCAGAAATTCGAGCGTTTTTTGGAGGACAAGCTTAAGCATTAAATCCATGGAGTTCAGTTTTCCCGCAGGTTTTTCGTATTTTACTCTCCATGGTCTGTACGTTAAGATTTAGTTTCTTTATGACTTAAAAGTGCTAATACTCTGTGGCAGAGTATACTTTGTAATGATTTAGTGTCCTCGGTTTGTCAGTCGTATTGCAAATTTAGCGGGTGTTTTTACCCTTAATGCAAAGATAAAATGTTTGGTTTTTGTTTTCACCATTTCAGAAGTTATGATGGATATGAACAGACCTATGCTGCGAGGAGAATAGGAAGTTTTGGGTAAAACTTCATCTTGCTCTTGATGTTTGTTAATTTGTCTCATACTTTATTCTTGCCTTTTTTCGTGAATTTATTTATGTTGTCTGTGTATTCCTCGCCAGATATGAGCCAGCGCCTTACGGAGGTGGATATGGTCCGGTAAATATCTTACTTATTATATCGATATTTATGAAATATTAGAATTTATCCTGTTTTGAAAGCGTTTTATCTTCATTGCTTGCAGTTAATGTACTCTTTATATCTTTACATGCGAAGATAATTATTTCGTCATGTCAACCGTGTTTATTGACACGGCGATTGTGCTTTTCTTTTCTGGATATAAAAATTCCTTCGTTTTTGTGTGAAGTTGGAACATTCTCCGCAACTTCGCCTCGCTCACTCATGAGAAATAGTGTCAGTACTCGAAGACAAAATTCGTATCCACACGTGGCTTTGTGACATCCATAATTTATACTTTACATCCCTTTCTGGCTGCGTGTGATGTAGGGTTACATCTTAAATCATTTTCACTTCTTTTTCGTTCAAACTGTAGTTGGTTTGATTATAATTTCAGCATTCTTTGTAGCTCCTTAAAATGATAAAATAGGGACAATTTGTCTTCGAGAGATTTGCTTAACATGATCTACCATCTCTCCTTCTTTCTAGCCAAACACGTACGCAGCCCCTGCACCCGCATACCGTACAGCAGCGCCTCCCCAGGCCCCACCGTCTAGTTACAGCACAGGCTACAGATACGCTCCTTATTAAATCGCATCATCATCATCATGACAACGCTTTAGAACACGAAACCATTGTACCATATTATCCATACCGTAGACACAAATCAAGAGGATCTGGAATGGAAAGCTCGTTTAAAGCAAATTTTACGTTCGTTGTGTGGATAGGTCATAGTAATTTTGTAAATAGTTGAAGTTTTTCTTGGAATTTCGATGGATGATATCACCTTGTTAGGCGAATTTCTTGCACCGTAACAGAGCTCAGGTCAAACGGAGACATTGTTGACGCTTTTTGTGAAGACAAGGAAGAAGATATTTGGATTTTTACTGAGAAAAGGGCCATTGTCTTTGTAGTTTGTAAATCTTGTTAATCTTTTTGCAATTTAGTTATGGCAGTGCCACTGCTGTTACCTTCTAATATAATTAACAAAACATGATTCCAAACAAATTCAATTGTGCAAAGCATAGGAGCAAAGTAAGTAGAATGACGACGGAGAATTTAGGATGCATTGCTCATTTCCTGCAAAGTTGATCAGTCATTTTTCTTAAAACGACCCTGGTAATAGTATTTTCGATGTAACACTTTGGATGAGATCCTAAAAAGTGATCATTTTTCAATGAAAAGTTTTTAACGTATTCTCATACGCTGTTAATTGAAGACAGATTTTTCCCGTTAAAGATTTAGGTACTTTTCAAATTTAAACAAGGCGCAAACATTTATCGATTTCTATAGAGCTTCCTTACGACATAGCAACAAGGCACTTTCTTGTTACTAGAGGAGAACTTTAGAGTAATTTTTTTGCTAGAGTAGACGAACGCCTTAGAGGAAGATTGACCCAGAATCAAGATTCCTCTTGAGAGGCCAAGACATAAACTGCACGTGTAAAAACACTAGGGTTTTGATCGGCTGAGAGCACTAAGATTGATCGAAAGATGTGAAGACAATGATGTAGTAATCATATGAGTTAGTTGAAATTGTACCATAAAATTAGAAGTTGTTTTTTACCGAAATCCTTACGAGAATAACTCTAAAAGTACTCTCCAAGAGGTGATTATCAAGCAGAAACCTCAGTTTCAGGTAGTGTTTTCTCAAAAAGTTAACAAACTAGGAGATCTGCCTCTTCATTGAGTCTTAATTGAAGCATGAAATATTCTCAGGCTGTAGATACAATGGAGGTGTCACTTGGTTTTATCATGATTTAATGATAAAAAGGAAAAGTTGGAACTTGTTTCCTGTCATTTTTCCATTCATTTCGAGGAAAGAGAGTATCGTTATATTTTTTGGGATCGTAGTCTTCATAACCTAGAGCACGGGTAGAATTTTAGCCAAGGTGATGGAACCTGAAGATTGACCTCAGTCACAAACCCAGTATTTCAGTCAGCGCCAGCGTGCGTGGGTTTCCTCTTTAATAACTCAGGTGGATTAAATTATTTATTAAAATATTAACGAAGCAAATACCGAACGTTCAAGAAGTAATAAATCTCCTCTTGCGGGAGTCTGAGGAGTCGATTTGAATAATTACGGCCACACCCACGTCAGATTTTCTTTTAGCACCATGCTACCCCGATTGTGTCGGTTATGTTATGATGCCGTTGAATAATCTTGTCGCCAACAGTGCCAAGGGGAAGAAAAAGAAACAAGTAGAACAGTCTAAACAAACTTGTGACCTACAACAAAAGCTCTCTAGATAAAGCATCTTTAAAGAAAGTCTCAATTCACAAACAAGTGAAAAATTTATTCCCCTCTCTGCACTTTGCCCTTCACTGTTCTGTTTCAAAAAAATTGACGTAATTACTCCTTGTAATTCAAGTTTGGGAAGCTTCAAAACAATACTTGAGAGATGCAAGCATGACGCACGATAACAATGATGACACCCTCGTACACTTAAGTAAGGCCACCCGCTCTCCTAGCTTGTTCAAAGGAAAACCAATATTTTACCAATGATAGACTTGAATAATAAGAATACTGAGGAGTTTTTGTATGGTATACCTCCTTCCTTTATATAATATAAGACGCGCATATATTGGCTTTGTCATAGTACTTTATATACGTCAATCTGTCAATAATTTTATCCACCCACAGCTTCCGGCAATTGACAATAGCTCCCAATATTGTGATACATAAGTATGCGATATTGGGCCGACAATGGGCATTCCTTGTGACTTCATATTGCCAATTGATCACGCCAGAACTCCGTTTCCAAGATATTCGTTGATAAAAAACATGTTTTTTTGCCAAAGACAGTTAAAACGTTTGTATTGAATAATCTCCGTTTCTTTTTATCTTACCTCACTTATGGTACATATTTTTAGATTCCCACCGTTTTATTTTTTTATTGCTACAGCGCATGTCCCTCGAGCTTGGATGTTTTGCGACAAATAATCAGAAAACAGATGTACAATATTAATATCTATTTTTGTTACCTTAGCAGAATAAACTTTTGTTGAGAATTTATGAAAACGTGTTCATGCAAAACGTAACGGATCTAACCTGAGATAATTGTGTTAAATGGAATGTAGGAAATCTCGTGTTATTTCTATGTAGGTGGATGACTGAAAACTACACCAAACACTGGTTAAAAAATTTGTTTACAAGTTAAGAAAGAAAGACGTAAGAAAAATATTTGCATTCTGAGAGAGAGCTATTTATGTAAGTTTTAATAAACCTTAACCCAATATCGCCCTTTTATGGTATGAGTCTAGTATGGATTGGTCACTCAAGTATCCCCACTGAGAGAGACGATCTTTCATGGCGGATTCGAAAAAAGTCGACGATCTAACCTTCCGATTCTCCAAGCTGAGAGAAAAATGCATCAGATCCGGAGAATCTATTGAAAATATTCGATGGGAGTTCTTGCGAGATGTTCATCGAGTTCCAAAAACTCAATCGAAAGAAAACGAAAGTAGTTTTTTCGCATGGAACAAGATAATTTGGTTTCTTATCCTGCCCGCAATCGCTTTGTTGTTGTGTCAGTTGATTTTGGAATACAACCCAGACTCTAAATGCCTCATTGAGCCAGATTTCGTGGTTTTGAACGAGATGGCGCGCAAACCAACCAACTGTTCGCTGCTTTGTGAAGGTGTGAATGAAATACAACGGGTCTCTAATCTTTCTAAGGAGGAGTTCATCTCCACATACGCATATTCAGGAAGACCTGTGGTTATTACCGATGCTGCACAAAACTGGTCAGCCGTGGGTGCGTTCAGTTTCAAGTTTTTCAAACGCCTTTACGCTAAGAGCGATGAGGCAGATTTAGATAACGTCGACGAGGGATGCATGTTTTTCGCCTACAAATCCGGTTTTCAGTCTCTAGCAGATGCTTTAAGAATGTCGAATAAAAGGGCACAATGGAAAGGGAAGCCGTGGTATATTGGCTGGTAAGTATGGCTCCTTGGAGAATGGAAGATACATGATGAAGATTAAAATGATTTAAGTTATTTTCAAATTTCATAAATATGGGTAGTGCACTTACCGGGGAAATCAAACTGATTCAACCTTCGTAGATTTGTTGAATCAAAATCATCATTTCGTGCATGCGATATGTGATAGCTAATTTTTTCACTGTCTACCCCGGCCTCTCCCTCAAATAGACATTGTCAGTGATTGGTCTGTCACAAATGCGTACCTAGTTGAGAGATTTCCGTCATCGTGATCACATCTTTCTCATGATGGACAAAATACTTTGATGGATAAAATACTTCTAAAAATTAAAAGCTTTTTCGGCCTGTGACAATTATTTTTGCTGATAATTCAGAGAAATTATAGGGGCATTTTCCAAATAGCTGACAAGAATAGCCCGCAGAGCAGGCGTAATTTTGGCGGGCGAGTGTTCAGTGTTACCTTGGTGAAAAATATAGCTGCCACCGTCTGGGAAGGCTGAGGAGAGAAAGAAATTTGTATAAAGGGGATGAGCAGCGGTCAAAAAGAAGGAGAGGGGACGGGGTAGGGCAATTCCTTCCCCAGTCCTTCGTCATTTATTTCATTACAAGAGTGACCACAAAAAAACCCAATGAATAACAATGATATTTAAAAAATTCTCCTCAAAAAAGGGTTGAGTTTCAAGTGATCAAAGGGACCATAATAGTGTTATTATGTCTCTCTCTGTTTTTTTACAGGAGTAATTGTGATCCCAATGTCCGTCAGATATTGCGCAAATACTATAACAAACCTTACTTTATACCACATGACGCTGAGACAGGCGATCAAGACTGGATATTTATGGGAGGGCCTGGACCTGGTGCGCCCATACACGTAAGTATCACGTGACAAAACCTTCTCAAATCGGGAATACAGTCGGATTTGTATTAAGTGAGGAGTTGCAGAGTGATCGTTTAATACAGGTTGACCAGTTTCGCAGAAGAGGGGTTTTATAAAGAACGATGAAAAACGCTATTTTATGCAATGATTGACTTAATGTATAAAATACTCGCTCAAAGATATTTCTAACATCGATTTCGGAGATAAACATGGATAAAAATGCATTGACAGATTATTCTTAGTTTTAAATGACCCTTCAATACAGGTGGAGGACTTTGAAAACCGACCGCTTAATAATACGGTGCCGCTAAATACAGGTTCGATTGCAGATCATTTTTTTTTTCTCAAATAATTGTTCATGCAGTTTTGAAATTTGACAAGTTACAGAGAAGAAATAAACGCATTCGGCTTCTTTGCTCCATACAAACCTGTAGCTTACCAGAAGGAGGGGAGCTGGTTTTATCATTCTTGACTAATTTATTCAAAAATGGATTTGTAAAACTCGTCACATCATATCATGATTTGACTGTTTTGTCGAGCATAACTGGTCCCATTCCCTTCTCAAGCTAAGTTTAAACTGGAGTTGGTGATATAAAACTCGCATTAGCCAGTCTGCATGAAATATATAGGAGAAGTCCCATATTCATCAGGAATGGATGAAATTAAGAGTACCAGTGTATCGCTTATTTGCTTGTGATTGGTCGCACGAAACCAGGTCACCGTGACGGATATACCGACTTGAAAATCATTGGAAAACGCTGTTTTCCAAGGATTTTCAAGAAGCATCGGAGAAAGGAGTCTTGTTATTTTCTTGATATTTTCTATAGAAACGGATGCAAAGTGCGCGAGAAAACTTGTACGCATCATCATGACTTGTAACCTACGCAAAATTTTGTCTCATAAACATAGATTGACATGGTGCAGCGTCCTTCATGGCAGGCCCAGCTGTCAGGACAAAAGATGTGGACCCTTATTCCTCCTCCAGAGTGTGAACACGTCTGCAAGACAGTACAAGTGACAATGCAGAAAGGAGAGATCAGTAAGTCGAGAGGAAACGTGGGTAGGCTTGTTCCGATCGTGCTCGGCAACTTTTGAACAAGTTTTGGCGTTTGGAGCAACTTTTTGTGGTTTTAGCAACTCAGAGCAATTTTTGCCTTTCTGAGCAATTTTTGAGAAAAATATAGGTTTACAGCATATACCAAGCACGAACTGAAGTCGCCGATTTCATCGAAAAAAAATTAACACATATCCTGTTACTTGACAACGTTTCTCTCTTATTGCGATCTTCATCACAGATAACTGGATAAAATGACGTTCGGCAGGAGTATCCTTAAATGTCGCCCATATTTATGAGCAACTCTTTCAAGCTAATTTTCTTAACCGTTTACTGTCAGCGATTATTGTGAATAAAGAAAAATAAAACCTTTAATTAGCGTTTATATAAAAATATCAAGAAATTTAGGTAACAGCTTTTGAAATTTGGTTAGAAATTTTTTAGCAACTTTTTGGGATTCCAGTGGGCAACTTTCCAGCATTTTACGAGTACAGTCGGGACGAGCCTAAATGAGGAAGAGCAAAAATTTATCTTATTTTGTTCCCGAAACACGCCGAACAAATTCAAAATGATTTGAGTTTTTGGTTTGATCGCAACAATAGCAGGCCAGATTCTTGATAATCTTCAAATAAATTATTCAGTGCATTATTTCGTAGCCAGCTCCTTTCGAAATTTTTTTGGCGGTTGTGTGTGGGTGTGTGAACTTTTTAGGTGAACCATTTTTTGTTTTTGTTTCAGTTGTCCTGGACACCAACCAGTGGTTTCACTCCACGAAAATTATTCCCACTGGAGAACTGAGCATCACAATTGGAGCAGAATACGACTGATGTTTTGTTCTAAACTTGTTTTATTTCATACACCAGTAAGGGGTAAGAGGCGAAATAATATCCGTGAGTTATAAACAACTGCAACTTAACGCAAGTGTATCAGTGAATCAATCATGTTATTAAAATAATATGTAAAACCTTATTTCACTGTCTACTTACAGACTGTGTATGTAAACTGTTAATTCCAAAATAAAAGTGGTTAAAATTTGACAAATTGATTGAGTAATTTGTTTCATGATTCACTCGCTACTGGCCTTCTAGTCGACATCACACAATCCACATGAGATATTCTGATCGACACCATGATAAAACTAAAATTAGCCTGTGGCTAATGGGCAACTGCTCAAGCTGAAGTAATTAATCTTGCAAAATCGTCACTTCACCTTCAAGTTAGAAATCCGGATCATGTAATACTCCGTAGCTTCTTGCCATGATAAAGATAAAAATGGCGAAAAAATAGATTATCTTCGGGAGTATACCTTTGTTTTAGACTAGTGCGGTGCCAAACAGAAATCTTTCAGTACTAATTAAGTGGGCTTATTCGTAGGCAACAGTATGTTTGAACAGCTTGTCTCTGCCTTCAGGCCTTCGTGCATATTAACTCTAGACAGGAGCCCATTAATGTCTCCTGCTCTAGAGTTCAACTTATCTAGAGCAAGATAGAACAAGAAGGTGAAAACCAGGGTGACACGGATATTGACAGAATCTACTCCAAGACGCTTCTGATAAAAAAGGAAATGGGAAAAACTGCTTTGGTGGCGAATTTACGATGATGAAGATGGCAAAGAACGTGAATTTAATGCATTTCGAGATTGCTCTCGAGTATTTTTAGCACCAGGGGTGGGTGATAAAGAAGCAGTCTGGAAACTGGTAACAAGGAAATCGAGGTCGCGCAATGGAATTACCTATTGTATGCAAACAACCCAATTTCATTTTCTTCCATTCAAGCTGTGATCTGCTGATCAATATTTATGATGTAGCGGCTTGATGTGTAAGTGAGACTACGCATTGGTAAATAGAAGATTAATTTACAGACAAAGCTGACGTTTCCTACCTTCCTGTTAATGGCGACTGCAACGCGTGTCGAAGAACTTGCCGTCCTGTTTTCTGATCTCCGCGAAAAATCATTGAAAAGCGGGGAAAATGTGGATAACATTCGAACAGAATTTCTACGGCAGGTCGGAACTGGTCGTGCACAATCGAGTTGTTTTAACAAGAAAAGCTTGAAATGGTTCGTGATTGTTGTTCTACCTGTTGTTTTGGCTTTTGCTGGTTACTACTTCGACGTGATCGAGCTGCTGCATGTTAGAGAAGAACCGTGTCTTTTGAACGTCAATGAAATTTTCATCGAGGTCACAAGAAAACGAACAAACTGCTCTCTGTTGTGCGAAGGTTTGACCGAAATTCCTCGGGTTTCTGGCTTATCGAAGCAGGATTTCGCTTCAAACTATGCCTACACCGGAAGACCCGTCGTAGTCGTCGACGGTGCGAAAAATTGGTCAGCCATTGATCGCTTCAACTTTACGTTCTTCAAAGAACTCTTCGACAAGAACAAAGACGCGTATCGAGTGAACGAGGAGGAGTGTCAGTTCTTTCCCTACAGAACAGATTTTTTTTCTCTTGAACAGGCCATGAATATGTCGAAAGAAAGATCAGAGTGGAAAGCAGAACCATGGTATTTCGGATGGTGAGTTTTGAAATTAAAATGTAAGAAAAATAACATCGAACAATACGATTGAAGTTGAAAGCAGCCGAGTATATTGATGTTAGAATAGCCATTTGATTTTTCAAATTAGATATTTAACCTGGGCAGCTGGTACGTGACTATGGTGACATATTTTGTTTCAATTCAAAATTAACCGTGTTCTTTGACAAATCAAACAAAAATTTTAAAGTCAGATTTTCAGTGCTCTTTGATCTCCCAGTGAGTATAGTTTGAACACCTGTCGAATGGCTAAATAAAATTTCTTGCTGCATTTAGGCAGCTGTCGTTTTAAAAGGTTTATACTCATTTCCATGTAAAAAAAAAAACTACTTATGGTGAACTAAAATGATGTGAAGTAACACTACTTTAATTTTTAAAGTTTTTTGTGTACTTTTCGTTTTTCCATTAAGGTAGATTTCATCGTTAATTTTTTTTTCTTAATGCAACACAGGATATAAACCCAATTACTGATGGACTCGTTTTTAACAGCCTTCATTAAGTCAGAGAAATTAGCTTCCTGTTCATTGATTCGTGTCTTATTTTCCTCGGAATTGTAATGGACTGTAGCACATCTGACTGTCTAATTTGTCCTTTCTCTCTGCTATACGTTTTCTTGGTGTGATATCATTAGTATGTTTAGGTAAGTCTTAGAATTTGATGTTATATCAAAACAGTATCCATTACTTCACAAAGAACTGTTTTTCTTTACTATAATCACAATAAGGCTATTTGGAAGTGAATTTGCCTGAGGAGTTACCTTTTGCTAAAATTTGAACTCCAAGCATTGTAGACTTGATCTAGTCGTTTCTTTCATTTGAAAGGAATTGGCTCGGCACTTTATCAACTTAGCATACAAGTTCTGTTTGTCTTGGAGGACAATAAAGAATAAAATTGAAAAATTTTAATTTAACTTTTAAGCACCATATGGTTTGCTACCTAGCCCTTTAAAACAACATTTCATTTTGAAACTCAAAAAGAACATTTTGTTCATCAGATTTACAGCATGAATATTTGAAAGTTGCAGTTTTCATGATTACCTGCTAGCAATACAAAAAAAATCATTTGTTCTGATCAGCTACCCAAGCAGGCAAGATGGGCCAATCTTTCCCACTGGGGATTGCCTGCTGTGAGTTACTAAAGTAAAATTTGTCTGAGAGTGTATGATATTGATAAATTTTCAAGTAAATAGGTCTTGTTGATTCAGTATTTCCCAAAAGTTGACAGATGGCTCTTTTTACCAGCTCAGATTTTGCTCCCCTCCAGTTTGTCCTGTCACAGGAACTTTGAACCTTATCAGCAGTATGTCTTTGGTTTTCAGGAGCAACTGTGATCCTGTAATCAGACAAGAATTGCGCACTCATTATCAATTACCATATTTCTTGCCAAAACAATCAGAAACCAGTGAACAGGACTGGATTTTCATGGGAGGGCCAGGACCTGGGGCTCAGATACATGTGAGTTTATTCTTATCCTTGGTTACCTGTATTTGTTCTAATGTGCAACTCTGATTATGTTTCTTACTTTAAAAATAAACTTTATGATGATTTTTACACTCACTGTCAATGTTTATACATAATTTGTAAAAAGTTTAAATTTTATGATGATTTTTACACTCACTGTCAATGTTTATACATAATTTGTCAAAAAGGGCAAAATTTATTTAAATTTTAGTCGGATTAGCCAATCATTTTAGCCCTCTCTTGATTCAATGCCCTCTCTCTCAACCAATCAGCGCTTAGTAATTTTTCCCTTTATTGATAAGGTCACTAATAGTTGCCGTACACTTTATGGTATACTTAATCAGGGAAGGAACCATTCATCCATTCTTCGTAAGGTGGCATTACCATTAACAATGGTGACTTTTCTGAAGTTTCAAATTTTAGAAGGAGGTGTTACCACAGATACTGTGGAGCCTCTGCAAAAACTTCCCTAGTATTAAATTCCATTATTTATGGCTTCAAACAGACTCGTCTCTTTATTACTGAGGTGCTTTAGTTTTGAAAATTTATTCAGCCTTGTTTATTGACCATAATGTTAACACTTTCTATTTTGAAGATTGATAGCGTGGATCGTCCATCATGGCAAGCTCAGCTGTCAGGACAAAAGATATGGACTCTCATCCCTCCACCAGAGTGTGAACATGTCTGTACTCCCAAATTAGCCACCACAATGAATAAAGGAGAAGTCAGTAAGTAACACAGTCTTGTGTTTTTTTTCTGTCCAGGAGGAAACAGCAAATGACCACAAAGATAATATGAAGGTGGAAACAAAGCATGAAATCTGATACCACCTCTACAAATACTTTACTTTGATCGCTCCTCTTGTTTGTGCATTTACTGGACTTTTTATACAATTATGTGTAATACTGTTTTATATAATTTATTATATATATATATAGTTTGCAAGTTTGTTGGTACAAAATTTATTTATTATTTGGTCTTGTCAAACTGATTTTTTCCAGCATGTGCTTATTGTACACCAGGTTTATGATATATTAAATGTTACCCTCCTTTTTGACTCTTATACGGTTGTACACTGAGAGAAAATTCAAGTATTTGATACCTGCAACCCCACAAAAAATTTAAATTGGTAACGTAATGTTGGTAACGTAATTAAAACTAGTAATTCTGTTACATTTTAACACTGAAAAACCCACTCCAAACAACAATTTTCCCTTTGATGATATTGAATATTCATGGGGTTCACTTTTTCAAAATCTAAAAATCAATTTTAAAGTATACAAAATATCCTGTTTTAATTTGCAGTCATTGTGGACACAAACCAGTGGTATCATTCAACAAAGGTTTTGCCTGGAGAGCTCAGCATTACTATTGGTGCAGAATATGATTAAAAGGATTTCCCATACCAATGTGGATATTTTTTTCTGAAAACTGTGACTTTTTTTTTAACAAAACTGTATTTTTCAGTAAAGTTTTTTTTAGTTACTTGTAAGATCCAATTGTTTACATTGTAAAATGGATTGACTAATATTAATGCATCATAGTGTATTGCAAAGGAGATAAGTAGTTAATTATATATTATACAAAATAAACAAATATGAGAAAGATATAATAAAATGATTAAATTGATATTAGAGTAAATATGTTTAAAAAATAATGCATGTTAAATTGACATTAATTATTAGAAAAGTTGCTCAGAACTTGTGTAAAGAATACACAAGATTTAGCTTAAATGTAGTTGGCTTTTACTCATGTACTTAACTTTAGATGCTATTTAACAAGGTTTTATTTAATTGCTTTGCATCCAGTTTGACATCCAACTGCCAGCAGCTGCAATGATATGTGTATCAGTTATCAGCTTGGAGACCCAGATATTGTAAGTTCCAGTTTCAGAAGGGTTTCACTTTAACCATTACTATACTGAAGTCTTCCAGTGCTAGTAGTTTGTTCCTGAAACAACAAGTATAATCCTAGGTTATGACTGCTACTACTGACAAAAGAAAAAGTTTCTAGCCTAAAAACAAAATGTAATGGAGATGATAAGGGCTTGGACCCAAATCTTACACTTCATAATAACCACTTTGCCACATGCCTCTCTCACAACCATAAATAGAGCAGCCATGACACTTGTTTTGTTGTGACATTAAAAGAGTTTTGTAGTCATTAAAAAATGACTGACAAAAAATTTTATGATGTAGAATAGCAAGGTATAGGCTATCTAACTAGGGACTATGTAGGAGATGAACCCAGCCTCCTTCAGCGAGGTCTCTTGAAAGTAGAGCAGTCCAACCCAACTGAGTTGGAGAGAAATATTTTTTTGAAGTTAAAATAATAAAAAGTTGGTAGGAGTATTTAATATACCATTAGGGCTTCAGTTGATTAAAGGAGAAAATAAAAAGAGGAAGTAATTTGAAATTAATCATATGATAGCTATTTATGATAATTGTGTTACCTTTACAAGATCTAAAAAATAAAATGTGGGTCCTTTGATATTGGAGCAAATTTCTTAGTTTTGAAGAAAAGGCAACCTTTGTGATATCATGCCAGACCTTTTGAGGTTACCTACCTAACCTTGTGGCTACAGAGGATGATGCTTCACAACCACTCAACCTCAAAAGCTTTTTCAGAATTGTCTCTGTGAAATTTGTTTTCTTTTTTTAAATTGCACTCTCTGCTTCTCAGATTTTTATTCTAGAGGGTGACTGCCTTGAAAATTCCTACATTTACAACTCTGAATCTCACCCCCTTCCTGTGCTCCCAAAACCCTGAAGCTTACCAGGCATCAATATCAGTATCTGGGCAACTGCCCACCTACCCCTCCCCCAACCCAACATTAACCCTAAGTTGTTATCAATTGACTGTTGTTGAGTTAGGGGAGGGGTAGGTGGGCTGTTGCCCAGATACTGATATTGATCCCTTACAAGTATACTTATCTCTTGCAAGCAGAGTCTTAGAACCAACAAACACTTTGAGACCCTGTAAGGGGTAGAACCTCTTTGTGAGGAATGCAAGTAATAATGATAACTGTATATACTCTATGGAGGGCTGCAGCATTTTTAATATATTTGCAACTCATTGGGGGATATCACAAATTTTGATGAATTTATAGTAATACTTCAACCATCACTTAGCACTTAACATTCAAAAGGACTAGAATATAAATAAAAGTTGATACTAACATGTTACAGTACAAAGACAAAGTTCAGTCGTTCTTAACTCAAATAATGCTTATTGTACAGAGCATGCTGTAACACGAGAAGGTACTTCAATTTCTAAGAGCCATCAAGTTAATTTAAAACTTTTCAATTCTCAGTATGTGTAGCTCTTAATATTAGTAATCTAAAAACAATTATTTCAACCATTAAAACCATGAAAAAGAGGTTTAATACTCCTTTGCTAAGTATAAACATAAAACAACACACAGAGAAAGAGATCTATGAGATTTTGGTCACATTAACCCTTTAGTTCCCAGGATCTGATTATCAATTCTCCTCTCTAGCTGCTACACATTTCTTCGTAAATAAGTCCCAAGAATTTGGTGATAAATCAGAACCACCAACCTTTACCTGATAAGTTTGAATATCCTCATGTTTGGTGGACAATGTATGGATATTATAGGGAGAAGTTAGATGTTAATCACTGCTAGGAGTAAAAGGGTTAAACCCTTTGATTAGATTTAACTTTATCAGCCAGATGTGCACAAAATCCCCTTTTGGATATGGTTGGAGCTCCCTGTAAAAGTACTCCTTATCCCCCTAATGGTATCATTTTGTCAATAAGAACTATAAAAAGAAATCATAAATTAATTGGTCATTTTTCTGACAATATAGAGACAAACATACCCTTGTGGTGTCATCAAGTTGGCAATTTGAAATTGATTGTGAATTTTGTTGATACATCTCTGAAAATATACATTAGAGAGTACCGAGAACCTTCCAGGGAACACCTAGGATTGTTTGTACTCAACTTACTCCATACAGAGGTGCCAAACAAAGGAATAGATGGCAACAACACAACCAATTTTTGACTTTTCATTCCAAATATTCTTCGAAATACACTACAATGTATGCAGTAGTAGTGCTGATTAATTAAAAGAAATAACATTCTTGATCAATCTTCTCATTTAAGTAATCAAATTAAACAGCTGCATATAATTTAATTCACATTCTATGTGTAGCTGTGTATGCCATAACTATTTGCAACAAGACAGAAAACAAACACCTGCCAAGGTATCATTATCTCTTCATGATAATAACTTGTCACTGGACGATAATCTTTACAACATGACACCATGCATGCTGAATGTAAAACCTCAAACACTATTTTGATTTTATGGAAAATATCTACTAAGCTTGTCTGACTTGAGCTGTAAACCAAGCATAAATCATAATATCATCATGGAAGTGCCAGAGGAAGTCTAAAAATATTCATTAAGAAGCATATAAGAGTATAAAGATTTGTTTTCTTGTTCAATATCATCTGAATTCATAAATGGGTTGACTGTGATCAGGAACATGGACAAGATTTAAGGACTGAAACCTGGAAAAGAAGGAAAGGTGGAATTAGGTAATCTTAAAATTTATACAGTGTTGAAAAACCAAAACAAAAGTAATCACAAGAAACAAAAATGTTCTTTGGGGCAATGAGAACTCAACATAAAACCAACCAAACTGCCTACAGTGCTGGAAGCCACCAAGTTGTATTTAGTTGTAGTTTTGCATTTCATTGGTTCAAAGGATGGCACAGCTAATCTGGACCAATCACAGAACAGAGTCAAGCAAAAATAAAGCAATATGTAAACCCATGAACAAACATGCTTGGAAATGAGTCTGGAAAATCAGGCTGACATCAAGTCAAGTCTTAAAAGTAAACTTTCTGGGAATAAAAAATAGAAAGCTCCTTTTTGAGAGGCTTTTACTAGTTGTGTTTCAGTTTTTTCATTGTCCAAAATGCAAGAGCAAATACACTGTCAAGCACAATAGGAGCACAAAAAAAGTTGAACTAACCATTCAGAGCTTCGGTGATAGTAGTAACCCTCAATGGTGGCGGCTGATTTTTGTAAACAAACATAATAAAACCCTGCAAATGACGCTCCAGTTATGTCTGTGATAGTGTGATCTGGAACTAAGAAATGTTCCTGTAAATCAAAGAGAAAATTGGTTTGTCATAAAATTGAGAGGTTATGGACCTGTTTAAACCTTTTTACCCCAACATCAGAATGGATATTCTCCATACTGTTATCTACATATTTCCTATGGTACTGACAAGCAGAATTTGGTCAACAATCAAGAGCTTTTCAAGTTAGTGATTATTTACTTTATTCTCCTGACCTTTACCATTTGAAGGGACTGGTATTGGCTATAAAAGTATAGTCAAATTAAAGGTTTTTGCACAACCTATGCATTGAGTTTTTGTTATAAAATATTGTATCCTTCTCAAAACTAGTTTATCAGAATAAGAATGAGTTACTGGGAACAAGTATGGCTTTCATGATGATAGTTTCCAGATTTGAAAAAAAGTCACTGCCTACTAAAATCCTCAGTTCCTTTGCCTTGATAGCCCAACCTCATCAAAACATTGCCAACAGGAGTAATTAGCAAATTATTGATACAGACAAGAGGGCCTATTCCCACATACATCCTCCTCAATCCTGTTAGCTTACTATGGTCATGGCATTTCAAACATGGTGTATATGCCACAAGTTTTCCATTTCCCTGACTAATTACATTGTAATAGTGTTTATATGTTGAGGAAATGGTTGGGTTGAAATATAATAAAAAGACTTGCCAGTAGATAGTTTTATTACAGAGACTTGCCAGTAGATAGTTTTATTACAGTTTTTATTCAGTGTAACGTAGGGCTGGAAAATAAACTAATAAGAGCTCCGCTTTTAGGCTTGGCTAAATCTATATATTAAGTGATTCAGGGTGATATTGTAAGGAGAAAATAAGATGCTTGTCACTCTTAAGGGTCAAAGGGGTTAAGCAAGGTTAAGAATATGGCACTGCCTGAAATGGAAAATACAATGTGAGAAAGACTTACCTTCCATCTCATAAAAACAAAGTCTAGATTGTCCAGTTGGCTGTAATCAAAACTGTCTGAGTTGAATGATTTTGCAAACTGATAAAATGCCAGAAATTTACCCTAAGAGACAAAAGAGAGTGGTTAACAGTACAAAGTTTAATGCATTGGGTAAACATACAGTGAAACTGGTTTTTTACTTTTGCTTTCAGAAAAAGTTGATACCATAAAGAAAAATTATTTACCCAGTGTTTTCTGTCAACATCTTCATCAGCATCCTAATAAAGAAAAAACAAAACAAAACAAAATAATTACCTTAATTTATTATAAATTCATCTTTAGAAGAAAAAAAGAAATGCTGAACTGTTGTCAAGACACCACTATTGAGGTAGCTACAGAAAATCAATAAGCACAATTTTCTAGTTCAACAAATTGACAGCATGATAATGTGCCAAAAAAATATGACACAAATTAATTTTGACAGTATGGGGTCTGATTTCAAATTAAGACTGGATCTATACTGCATCATAAAGAACATTTCATGAGACAAAACATAAATTTGTTACCAAATTAACTAAAGGTTCTCGCAGTTTATCATCAACCTTGCTATCTGGTCTAATAGCTATGACTTCTTCAGCTTGCGCTTCCAACTAAAGTAAGCCACAAAATGTCACAAGGGGGAGCAAAACAGTGTCTTCTAATAAACTAGTATTTGACACCCTAATGCTGTATAATTCCTTACCCATTTCCTTGTCAAAAAGGGATGTTTATCGCCAATTATCTCACCATCAAAAAAAGTTGTTAGATTAGGATATTCCTGTATTCAATAAAAACAAACCCGTCAATAAGACAGACCTTTTCCTTATTCCCCAGAAAAAAATTTAATATACACTTTTAAATGTAGATATAAAACTATATTCATAGTATAGCTGAGATACTATGCATGCCCTGATTGGTCAAAAACCAATCAATTATTGCAAAAGTACACCCAAAGAAAATTGAAACATTCTAAGTATATTTTATAAAAGCAATAGACCACACTTTCCATCAGTTTACCAGCATAGTTGCCCAATTAGGACGTTGGGAGAACACTCAAAAAGTTTGTTAATTCCTTCCCTTCTTGCTCGTCATTTATGTGTGATTTACACTTTTTTCTTGTTCTCCCAACATCCCACATGCATTATTATGCAAGTAAACTGATAGAAAGTGTGGCCTATTGTACAAATATTTTCAGGAACATACTACCCACTTTAGGCTGTTAACGTGCTAGAGACAAGCAATTTGTAATCAGTTACAGAATTATAAATAGGGGTTTGCAACTCGTATAACTATGGTGGTTTCCCTTCAATATGGGTTTGTCTGGTAAGATTAAACAACTGTATCAATCCATTGCCTTAAACTACAAAGTTAAGGCATAGGAATAAACTTCCGGTTACTTTTATACAAATGTTGTTTAGAACTATTAGAAAGAAAATCATAACAAAATCGCGCACAACAAAAGTATTAACCTGATGTGACAAAAAGTTAATAAAATTTAAGTAATGGAGTGATGCAGCGTTTCAAGAGAAAAAAAACTCTACATCATTTACACCCTTCAGCAGATTTTTATAATATTATCATTTTCTACTGTTAGATGGACTATATACTTACACCGTGAAGCGTTCAGACAAAACAACGAGTCTTTGATGCAAAAAAAACATCTGTACGTAAACGTATTGTCTGATATAATTTTAACACAGTTAATTCGGTCAGATACGAAATCAGTTCAATCAAAAAAGACGAATAAATCCAAGTTTCGGCTGAACTGTCAAGATCATTGAAGCGGACAGACGTTGATCAGTACATTTCAAGAGCGATCTAGACAATAACAACGCAAGAACATCGGCAAAATTTTTACTCACATCTGTAAGGCCCTTTATTTTCAGATATCCACAGAGAAAGCCCTTCTCCTGGTCAACGTGCTAAAAGATATTAACATACACACCATAAAAATCATTCATTTGAAGACTACGTTAAAATTTTAAGACCACAAAGTAACAAACGCGGACGGCGGGAAATTATCCCTTCGAGTCGTGACACGGCTCACGCGAACTTACCTTCAATACAACTTCGACGTCGTATCGATTCCCTTTACTTTTTTGATGACCCTGGAATTTACTGCCACTGTACAACAGTGACTGTGCTAGACCAGGCTGTTTCGTGCCTGGAGGAAGGGGATTCAGTGCAATTTTCCCCGGCATTTTCACATAAGTTTTCACAACTATACGGTGGTCTTTTGAACTTGCCAACGACACTCCCTCGGAGCATCTTGGGTAATATTATTTGCGTAATCTTTAGTTCCCAGTTTCTTGTCGACTTTTCTTACACACACCTGTGAGGAGCTCAAATATCACAAATATCAAATAGCGTCTATTCCTCTGTCTTGCATTTCTTTTGAGTATCAACAGACTTAACAATCTAACTAAAATTGGAGTCGTCATTTTATTCTTCTGGTTCGTTTTGCCAGTATCCTGAGATCTGTGCGTTCAGGTTTCTTTTGAATTGTTTTAAGCCAAACTGCAACAACCCTTTTGCCAAGGGTTTCAGAATTTGGGTAAGGGATGACGGGATTCTGGACTCGGATTACGAAATAGAGATTCACTTCAATCTCATACCTAAGCCTTTCACGGCCAAGCGGTGGTAAAGATCCTACATTTCACTACACGTTCGAATCTGGGTACGAGACTAGATTCGCTTTTGATTTGGGTTAGTTGAAGTTTAACAACTTTTGCTATTTGTTTGTCTCATTATTTATTTCTTGTGTTCAAAAGAATTTCCCCAAAACAGTCACGAGGTTACTCTATCGTCAAATTTAACAGGTCTTTCCTAGTAACAGGGTAATTTAGTATCAACAACTGAGTTGATAACGTGAATTCGCCACCGTAAAGAGTTTGAGAGCCGACGTTTTGAGCGCTAGCCCTTTGTCAGAGCCCTTCGTCAATCGCTCTGACGAAGGGCTAACGCTCGAAACGTCAGCTCTTAAACTCTTTACGGTGGCCAATTTACGTTATCAACTCAGTCAATAATACTAAATTACCCTGTTATACTCTCCCATCGACGCAACACTACAGTTTCCTTAGAAACTTACCCTCTTTACCTTCGCCTAATAACACGACTTTTTTCAATAAAAAAACTGGATTTGCGACGTAGTCTTACCCACAGAAGAAACGAAACGAAATTCTGGTTATGTTAGGCAATTTTCCACGCAACTCTCACGTGCTATGGCGTTTTCTACCAATCAAATTCGCTTTAAACTACCTTGGACTACACCACCCCTTTGGAAGAGGTTTATTGAGAATGAAATTGTCTGTTTTGTTCCCGCAGTAAAATTAATTGTTACGAAATAAGTTTGATCTTGTAACTGACTGGGAAATGGTGGTAAGCGTAGCTTTTTGTGCCTGAGGTTCCTTTTCCCAGATAAATCAGGGAGGACTTTTACGGCTACTGCCGCCTATGAAGGCGAAGCCATAATTTTGTTTGAGGACATGCGAAATTTTCGTCGAAATGTTTTGTGGTAAACAATATAAATGCTTGTTGGGAAGACGTGAGATAGGAGTTATTTCACCAAAGAACATACAGAAAGAGGAAAGTAGAGACTGACAACACAGAGTATTTTCATTATTTCGCTGAAATTCTACCCTGGCTGCCGGCTAAAATGACTTAGTTTAAATTACTGCTTTTCTTTTGCTTTGAATTAAGAATAATAAATGGTCAAATCGAAGACTAGAGGAATTCTGAACAAAAGCCTGGTCCTCAACACATGACCGAAGAAAATACAGAAATAAGAGAAATGTTAAAATTTTCAACGACCATAGTGGTCCTAAATTTCTAAATTTTTAAAAAACCATGTTAAAACTAATCAAATAAGATCTTAAAAACCTTAAAAATGGAATTAAATACGAGAAAACTACGTCACTATCAAGTCATTTTTTCCCTGTTCTTTCTGAGCTTGTTGACGCCTGCGCACTTGCTCCGTCTTTGCTTTTGTCGCGTGACTGTGCGGTGCCTCTACCCGGTCCACGATGTTTGACTTTCCCGCCAACCTGAGGCGGAGGATGCGCAGTTGGATCGATCTGCTGTATAGTACCGACAGCTTTTGTTCTTCCCTCTCTGAAGATCATTCTGGTTTCCGGTTTGACGAATTCCGGTTGTTTTATGAAGCGAAAACGCACCATCGCCTTATCTCCTGTTCTGAGGTGGTCTTTATCCATGTGAATTATTGTTGCCGTCTGCCGCATGCTCCCACAGTGAACTGACCAAAAAAATCACATAAATATCACATGAGTAAATTTTGTCCAAGGAAGATCCGTCATTGAAGATTGTGTCTGATTATTGTAAATATACATTAGTACATGTACAGAGACGCCGACTCGTTCCCAGTCGTCTCTCTATTTTCAAATACGAGCATCGTCTCCTTGCGGCATGTCATAGACACCCGTAGTAAGGGTTGTCTACGATGCAAGCGATGCCTTGTAGAAAAGCGCTCTATCTGTCTTAGATATAGTTTACAGCTTAAAAATAAACAAAAGCTCCCTAGCCAACTCGACTGGCGCTTTTGAATGTGCCATTAAGGCTTTGATTGGCAAAGCCGTGAAGAAGAGTAACGAAGCCCTAGCTTATGGGTTAAAAGTGCGCTTCTCGTTTTCAAAGCTCGGCCGCCTTTTTTTCTATCGACCATCCAGAGCTCCATTAGAATCGCTGCAATATTTTATTATTTAACCTTCTCAGCATACTAACCCATTGCCTGGTATTTTGTACTGATGGTTGTCGGGTGGTGAAGAACCAACACCTCGGCTTCGAATTCCCAGCATGCTTGAGGCTTCACTTGTCTATCTACCATAACCATTCCTTTACGTATCTGTGATCTTTTTATCTGAAGGCGAAAAAAAAAAAACATACTACATTTGGTGACACCGGAAATAATCTCCTCGCAGCCCTGTACTTTACGTAATCTATTACTTAATCTTCCTTCGATGAAGACGAAGAATTAACACGCAGTGAGATGGGACGGTATGGCTCCTAAATCCCCCTCCCCACTCTCCCGCGAGGCGATCAAGACATCGATTTCCGACTTAAATCCGAATTTTGCTCAGTCTATATTTCCACATCCAACATAACTATGATTTCCTTTTATACTTTAATATAGCTACCCCACCGTTCAAATATACGATTTTCAGATATTACCCACCTTTTTCAGAGCAAAGGAAGCCGTTTGTCCCGCACGGAGTTCCTTTACTGGCATTCTCTTGCGATGAATTGTCTTCACCGTGATTGATTGAAACTGACCCAAAGGATCTGGGCCGAGTAGAAGGGTGTCATTCAGTCGAATGGTACCTCTAAGACACGTGCCTGACACAACTGTACCAACACCCTAAATCATCCAAAACTTTGATTAAAGACAAGTAACTCTCTTTCTTGATACCAATCAGAAGCGTATAGCAAAGAATTCCGGGGGTTTCAAAAAATTTTTCCATAAACGGCAGCCGATGGTGTTATAGGCGGCTGTGCCAATAAAGAGACTGCAAGGCGAAATTCAAACACGAGAGCCTGCTCACAAGCTCAACAGACGGCGGTGAGAGGACTTATGAGCCGGCGATAAACCAGCGATTACTTGCTTTCATGAAACCCCTCTTACATGCTTTTGTGCGTGTACAAAGTAAAGCAAAAACGTAGTGCGAATAAAGGCAAGCACGAATTTGGAGATCTGGCATAGAAAGGGCAACAATTTATCCCAGCTAACGAAAAGAAAATTATGGAACTTGGAAAAGAGGAATATTAGTTAGATCTTAATATACCTAACTTATAGTTTCTGGTGCACACAAATCGTTAATATTTCTCATTTATGGTTTGTTTCGTTCAGTCAAATTTGCTTTATCTGATATTTAACAAAGACGTTTTTAGCGGAGCTCGCAGAGCGTAGCCCCATAGTTATACAAAATAGTAGTAACCCATCAAGCCACCGTAGGACCAAACGACCGTACGACCGTACAAGGTGCTACTTTTAACATGCGTTGTCAACTGTACCGCGGGCACGCCAACGCCACGGCTTTGTCCAGTAGTCCAGTGGTCAGTGCACTGGGCTCCGAGTCGGACGACCCGGGTTCTAGTCTTGGCCGGTGCAAGGCGTTGTACCCTTAAGACGTGCGTGAGAAAAAAAAATGCGAGCTCCGCTTTTAGGCTTGGCTAAATATATTATTTACCGGTACTGAGTAAGTGTCGTCGATCTGGAACTCAGATGGTTCATCTTTCCTGAAGTGAGCTCGAATTGAGAGCAAATTCAAAAACATCTTTAACAGGTCCAAGTTCTCACCGGTTACGTTTGAAATCTGAAATATTGGGCAAACCCTGACAAAAATGAAAGAACCACAACTGAATATCGTGATTACCTGTAAAAGTGATATGAATATCAGTGATTTTTGGTCTTTACAAAGGACCCTTCGATCATTCTGTTTTATTCACACAGTCATGATGTAACAATTCAAAAGAAAGATCGAGACGTACACGTCATCTGAGGTTTGCTCTAACTTCCATAACTATTGAAGATTTACTCTTATGAGGGCTTAAAATCTTGCATGGTCCTAGAGTAGCCCAAAAATGTTCTCGAAAAAAAAAATGAACTAGCTGAGAAAAACAAACGCTAACTGATTAGTTACTGACTAGTCTTGAAATCAGCAGCTTTTCTGGCACTTGCATCAATGTGCTTTCAATTAGTTCTGACCTTTTCAACCCAGTTGTTAACACTAATTACCTGCTATACTCTCCCACCGACGCAGCACCACAGTTTCCCTGATACATGTATTTATTACTTAGTCTGGTAGTCCTGAGGTAAATCTGAGTGTTCTGATTGGTTCTTACTTGGTCGCAATCTTGCTATACGGACGGCATAAGCTGTGTATTTTTGTTTGCGAACGCCGCCAAATTTAAATATACAAGTTTGGTCCGAGTGCTTTATAATAAACTACCTACTAACTTTGCTTGCTCGAGCCGTTTTGATGAATATGGAATGTGGCTCTCGGCCGTTTTTGTACGGACCACGCTGCGCTCGGTCCTTAATTCCCCTAGGCCAATATTTCCCACTAAGGCCCCTGCGCACGGTTAGTAAGAAGTTTTTCTTGAAATTCGCAGAAAATAAAAGTACAGTCTGCCCCCATTAAGACCAACCATTTTCTTTCACGAACTTAACTTGGGCTCTTACCTTTCAGAAACAAAGTTCGTAGCTGAGACAACCACATCATCACTGTTTTGAACAATGACAGGGATTTTACGGCAGCCAGGTGATTTTAGAATCCTGGATAAGAGTTTCATAGTGTCCTGTAGCACATTGGGTGGGCACATGTCAATCTTGGTCACCACCACAAACACTGGGACATTGAGTGCTAGGGCCAACCCTAGATGCTCTGGTAAGTAAAAAAATAAATGAATAAAAAAATGCTGTGAAACTTTGTCCAAAAGAGCAATATAAAGACATATAGTAATAAACTGCAGGTAGCCCTTTACTACTTCTCCCTACTGCACTTGCAAGTCATCAAGACCTACTTGTAATCTTAGGCAGAGAGGGTGAGTAAAAGAGTAAAGTGTTGCAACCACAAGCCTGTCAGTGCGATTTTCTTAACATGGATATGCAATCTGAGGCTGAAATTTTCTACATTTTACTAAATTTATCACTTTCAATACCAAAGCAAACCATATCCTCACTAGGTATTGTAATAAACTCGGGTTTGAGCTTACAAGAATCATTGTTCACAAACATGAAACTACCCTCTATAAATGGACTGTATCTATCTATATCCTACTAAATCCTATTACCTTTTGTCATGCCTATAATTCCTGCATTTGACCCAATCTAAATGAGAAAAAAATAACAACAAAAACAAAGATCTTTGTGAAACACCATACACCATACTAAAATTACTTTTGGTTCCCTGAGAAAAGGACTCGCCTGAAAACTTACGAGATAGACCTCGATTGTCAAGTTCTTTAGGGATTTCTTTTAAATTCCCAATTCAACTCAGAGTGGTAAAAAAACTATTTTCATGTAATTTTTCCTTTCTCAAATTCTTGTTTGCACTTTGTCCAAACAACAAAAATTATTGCTATGGTCAATCCTCAATCAATAAAGAAAATTTAGGTGGATAAAGCAAAAGTAAATTATTGCACATCAATATGACATCTCACCATCAGCATAGCAAAGTCTGGCACATGTCCTGTCATTCCAAAAATTGTTGTTTTCAGGTATCTTTCATGCCCTGCCAGATCAATAAAAGTGATGACCTGTGAAAGAACAAAAACAAAACCCTTACTTTTAGATAGTTTATCAATTATTGCCCCCTTTGTATTGTATTGTCAGAGTGTGCCAGCATTAAAAAAAGTCACAAATATAAAGGTAAATTTTCAGCTTTCCCCTCTGTCAACAAAAAAAGGAAGAAGATAGAATTACAACAAACCTTTGAAGACTTCTGGCATATCCTGGACCAATCAAGTCCTCCTCCTGGGACACAAATATATAAATATATCAGACATCCTTCCTTATCAACCAACTCAAATTAACAGTGCTTAAAAGCACTGTTAAATTGGGTTGGTTAATATGGATCTGTAAAGGTATTTGTAAATCCCTTAAAAAGACTACTTAAAGAGCTTTTTATCTTTTACTGCCTAGACAAGAGGGGGCACTGTGCCTTCTCCTAACATGGGTATATAGTATACACAATAATTTCTTTAAAAGAGTTTTCTAACCATGGGTATCTGGCTTGTTCACCACATCTCCTCTGCTGTCAAATCCCAGGATATCATTTCCCACACTACTTGTTCTTCCTGATTCCATCTCATGCTTATGTCGGAAAAGCCTCTGTCTTGCCATGCCTCTTCCATTATCGAGTTCTCCATGAGTCAGTACACCAAGTAAAGTGCTTTTACCAGCATCTACATTGCCTACCACTGCCACCCTACCAAAATAGATGGATTAAGATGACATTATCAACCAGGATAAAGAAGATTTCTAAGCATGAAGCCATTTTGGAGTATGCTACTTTCCCTAACCTTCTGTTCACAAAAGATCTGAACATTTCTTAGGCCCTGAGCCCTTTGTTGGGTTCTCCCACCCCCCAACAAAGAAAAAGCAAGCTTGAGTCATGCATCTCAGGTCCACATAGAATTTAAACAGAATTGAATAAAGGGTTTTAAAGAAGATTTTTTCTTTTACTTTTCTCAATACAGCATCTACTGGGATTCTACTGGGCTTTCTTGCCACCTTAAGTCTATTATTTTACACTATTTTTCACTTGAAACTCGTAACCCGAGTTACAGGTACCTAATACAAGAATGGGGGAAAAGGAATAAAGGCATTACCAGGTACTCAAGGTTGTTTACCTCACTTCCATGAAATCATTCTCATCCACTCTATTACGGACAAGATATTCAGCAACAGTACCCTCCTCGGCTGGCTTCTCTCTTAGCAGGACAACATCAGCATTACAGGACTCGGCTAATAGTTTCAAGGAATCCACTGATGCTTTGAGATCCTCTTCACTGAGTCCACTTGCTGCTCCATCTACAATTGAAAATCAATAAGTACATCTGATGACAAGTATCAAATTGAGCATTGTATTGTTTGAAGCTACATCCATCAGGAGAATTTGGCAAACCAGTGATGAGAATACACACCCTCAGCTAGAGGGTGTTATTACCATATAGCACCAAATTCTCCCAAAATATCCACAACAAAATTTATAACCTTGATCATGAAGGATTTCTACAGCACCATAACTCATTGTACTTTGTAACACTTTGCACTTAAACCAGACTTAAACCAGATTACATTGAGCAGTTTGAAAGAAATTTAGGCAGATGTTCCCATTTCGAAAATCAAAGTCACACTGGGAGCTACATTTCCTGATCTTCATAGAAGTGTATGGGTTCTTTAACAGCGCTTGCCCACCAGTACAGAAAAGAAGCAGGAGAAAGGCCTTCAATTTATCATTCTTATCAGGGAATACTAGACTGTCTAACCATTTGCAACTGTTGTAGCAAAAGCAGCTCATTCCCCTCAACTATTTCAAGACCCTTATTGTTGGTCCACTTCAGGGAGTGAACCCTTCATGTCACACACAGCAGTCTGGTGCATTACAACCTGAGCTGACCAGGTGGCAGCGCATAAAGGCAAGAAGGGAGAATTGCTGAATAAATCAGCTCTTAATGATCTCATCAAAAAAAAGTTCAAATAATACCCACTACATTACCTCCTTATTACTACAAAACACTTCCATAAGGAGTGGTAGCTTATTTCATTCAATTATTTCCTTCTCATGGAATCTGCTCCATGAGCCATAAGACGATTAAATGGCCTCTATATTTCAAGCTTGTCCACATTAATTTAGCCACAGCATGAAGAAAAATCACTTAAGAATGAAAAATTTATGAATTCACTCAAGAAAACAGTATTAAGATTACTTACCCCCAACACCAACTTCATAGATAGTTTCACCATGTCCTTCATCTAACCTTTCCTTAAGTTTTTGTAGTAAAATATCAAATTGTTCATCATCTGGACTGATCAAGGCAACCTGGAACATACATGAAAATATCACAAATCAACTTTTCCATTAATCAAAGCAAGTTTTCAGAATCTTCCCTTTCTTTCTGATGTGTGACTGCATAGCTTAATTGGTTGTAAAGGTTGGTATAGCTTATTTCCTTTTACTATGAACAGAGACCCCAACTTGCCTCACTTCTTACATGTGGCTTCATAGTTCAGTACGCAGTAGCATTGAATTAGTATCTAGAAGGCAAGGTTTTGAGTCCCATATAAGCCTGAGTTTTTCAGGCTTCTTTTGCTGCAATTACTTAAATTACAGTTTACCTAGGAGGATCAATTGCATACTTTTCATCATCAGCAATTCAAAACGATTCATTCCATATGATTGAATATGATTGATTTATCAAATAAATATAACAAAAACAACTGAAAATGAAAAAGTTACTATTAAAAAAAATGCTCAGAAATCAAAATATTCATCATAATTCTAGGCAGGCCATAATAAATTTGTTCCTACCCGTGGATCAATTGCATTTTCTGCACCATTTAATGTGTTGCTACCATCACAGTCAAATTCCCCACCACTGTCTGGAGCAAATAGGTTGTTAGCACTCTCTAGAGATCCTTCTTGTCTACCATTCAAAGATGATCCTGAGAATTTCTCCTCCACATTGATTGATTCTGTAAGCGCACTCATTCTTTTTCAGACCTAAAAAATAAACAAATAACAAAAATTTGATGACCAGAAAATGAAATAGAGAGGAATGGGTCTCAACCGCAAATAATAATAACTTTGAAATGAAATAACCTCAAATACATAAATGGAAATAGCATATATGTAAAGACTTCGAACCTGGAGTTTAACTAAGTATCCTTAATCACCCTCGTAACATAAATCCTATCATGATCAATAGAAAATCTACAAGGCAGCTCTTAATATCTTATACTCCATATCTATTTTAACATTATCACTGAAGCTTTCAAGATACTTTACACGTTTCTCTTTGATAAAATTGAATAATGCCCACCGAAATCGTCGATCATCAAGACCACTCCTTGCTGAAAATATCTGGAACTCTAAAATCAACAAGGTAAGCCAGTGTTATCTACAGTATGAGCTTGATTAAATCGTATGCAGTCCCTGCGGGTACTGTGGGAATAACACTCTAAGTTCGGTAGAAAGTGTGCAAAATCGTCTGCTTTAAGCCACTGATTTCACCAAACGCTGGTTTGCTGAGGAAATGTGATGCAACACAAGTTCCTCTGACAATAATAACAACAATATAAATAGTCTAATGGTTTTTCACTGTAAATGAGGCAAATTTCATCAGATAACGCTTGCGTGGTGTTATTGTTCCCAGGCCTCCTCAAAAACATCTACATTGGAAATTTTTAAAACAAGGAGTTGAGGGTCGACGATGCTGGGTTTCGTTAAAGAGACAGAAACTGAATAATCGATCTATAAGAAATTTAATCTCTAGAAAAATTAATTCAAAACAATTTTATATAGTTGTTTGTGTGCGAAAGATGAGCGAATCAACACGTTACCGTGGACAGCGGGATTTCTTCTACATGAATAATTTCTTTGTGTAAAAAGTCATTAATGTTCCAGCCAATTGTTGCAAGAATGGAGATCTATCATGAGCGACAAAGACAAATGCTTTGCGCAGTTCATACCTTAAACAACCTTTTCCAAGACAAGAATGCCTACAGTAAGGCAGACCTAGATGCCATCAGCTACCGGCTTAGCCCAGACGCTTTCGTCAATCCGCACAAAAATATGCTTGGCTTGGGAAATTATGACGTGAATGTTTTGATGGTGGCCTTGCAGTGGAGGGAATATGAAGCAGTGTGGTTTGACAAGAGATTGTGAGTAGTCTCGGAGAAGTAAAAGCTAATTTAGTAGGAAAAAAGCTGAGGATAATAGACAATTTTTGTTTACTTGACATATACTCGATAGCTGATTTAGAGTAAGTTTATAATACACATAAACACAAATTTATCAGAGAAGAGCTGGATTGAATTGCTTTCAAAACTCCTTCAAAATTCTTCAGGATCATTGTGGATATAATGTTGTGTGTATCATCAAGGATGATATTCAGTATGACCTCCAGGATCTTAAGCTTTCTTGTCAGGCATTCAAAGATTCTTAATGCTACTGTGAACAAATGTCCATCCCTTGAAAGGTTATAGTTATCTTATGATAGGTAACTCCATGAAAGTTTAAATGTGGTATTTTCTGTTTGAAGTGCCTAGAACTATTTTATAGCTTAGATGAGAGAGGTAAAAATCCCATGAGAGTGGCACTCTTATGGAGCCACTCAGCAGTATTTGAGTAGATTTAGACTACTGGCCAACAAACCATACCAATTAAAAGTAGTATGATCTCTGAGGTACCAATTTTAACTTAAAATTCAGAGAAAGGAGAAGTAAACTACTGATAAGGAAATGAATAAAGGGGGCAAGTTTTTGAAGAAACTGAGGTGCTTATTTAGTCTAGGGGTATAATAAGGTAATTTGGT